GCGCGCGAAGGATGCACTCACCCCCTCTACAGGTGGACGACTGGCTGACGTTGCGGAGTGTCTTGTGCCTGCTGCGTTCCCTCGTGTGGAAAGTGCTGAAGCTGTTGTCGTGGGCAATACAGATGAGGCCGTCGAATCTGTCCTCACGTCTTCTCCGACGCCGACAGCTGTGGTAGGGGAGGAGTTTCTTATGGATACCATGCGCTCCACGCGTGGGGCGACTGAGGCTGCGGAGGGTCTGGCACGTCATGAAGTTTATGTCGTTGCGTTTGTGGCGGAAGAGGGCGTGAAGCGTCGTGAGTTGGGGCCAGCGGCGGAGGAGCTTTGGGGGGAGTTGGCGTTGGAGGACGTGGACGCAAGGGCTCGCGTTCTTCAGCGTCGGGCGGATTCCGTTGTTGCTGATGAAAACGCGGTTCGCGACAATATCCGTATCCAGGAGATCAGGAACCGTACTCCTTTACTGGATGCGTTCTGTGTGGATGGGTGGAAGATTTCGTGTGCTGCTCTTATGCAACAGGAGGCGGCAGACAGGCAGCTTCTCACGGCGGACGAGTACTTGAGTCGTGAAGGCATATGGTTCGAAGATATACACGATTATTACCGTTGCCGTGCGGCAGAACTGGCGCGGGTGGAAGCCAATGCTCGCAAAGGTGTTGTTCTCCACGAGGCCGTTGCCCGTCGTCAACTGCACGCTGCGGCGGTGGATCTGAGGGAGCATTTACTGGCAGAAGCGAACGCCAAGGCACGCGCCGCGTTATCTGCGATGGAGGCTGTGGAACGAAGACGCGTGATCGCCGGGGAGGCCGCTTCGCGCGACGATTTGCGTACCGCGGCACGTCTTTCGTCTCTCAGGGTTCAGTTGCTGCTGGTGCCACGCAAGGAAGCGCAGCTGCGGGCTTCGCTCATGGACATGAGGGAATCCGAAATGGCACAGTTCGTTGCGGCAAGCCGCGCGGATATGCAGCGGGCAGCGCGGGCGAGTGTGGAGAGAAGAGAGACAGCGCGGCGCCGCGCTCTTGCGACGGCCGAAGCAACGACCTCCAACCGCCTCTCCGAGAGTGGCCTAGCAGATCGTCACATTGCGGAGGTGACCGTCGCCTACCGTACGAACGAACAACAGAGTATCGGTGCCGCGCTCCCTCCGGCGGTGCTGCGTCGGCTTCAGTGTCTGCTGGAGGAAGAAGAGGATGAGCGGGAGTTGGTGCTGTTGGATGAGGTACGCGTCCGCCGCAAGCGGTTGCCTTCGACGGCGACGTCCATCTGCGGCTCTCAAGGCGATGTGGAGTCGGTGCATGCGTCGGGCCTGCCACCGGATATTCGCCCACGTGTGACGCGAGACCGTAATCGCGGTAACGTCTCGAACGACGCTCTTCAGCGCTGGGTGCGCTTTAATCGGTAAACGAAAGAGAGGAGGGCTGAACGGCTCTGCTGTGGGCGTGAGCTTTTTGTTGCTTTTTGTAGCTGTTTATGTTGTTGTGTGGGTCGAGATCTTATAGGAGTAATAAGAGGTCTGAAGCCGCGATGCAGGGTAGTGGTAACCGCGAGCCCCTACCACGCTCCGTCTGCTTTGTTTTTGTCGCCGCTTGGCACGGATCCTTATACTTCAAAGAAAAAACTCATATCAATTACCGCGGTTTCCAAGTGAAGTTGTTCTTCTTCGTCGCTTGGAGAACCCTACTTGAGTAGGCCGTGAAAAGCAAAGAGGCAAACGAAGGTGTTACCTTTCTTTTTTGTTGTTGTTGCACCAACCTCTCGGCGGTCAGGGCTTTTGTTTTCTGCGTGTTTTTCGAAGAGTTTTCATTTCGCAGGGCATCATGCGGACTGCTCGTTGTCGACGCAAAAACGTCGCGCTGCACTCGCTCTACATGACCTTTCCCTCCTTAAACAACAAAAAGAGAAAACCCCTTTTTTGCTCTCTCGCATCTTCTTTCGAGAAAAGGGAAAAAGTCACACCGTTCGTTTTCCCACCCCCTTCGGCTTGTACACTTTTTCCTTCGTTCTCGTAGCAATCAACGAACAACAGTAGATCACCAATTACATTTCTTAACGTAGCACTACTACACATTGCTCTCCCTCTCTCTTTGCAAGGAGTAGGGCGTAGATCAAACAGTCTTTAAACGATCCTGCTGCCTTGCACTTGAACGTTAGTTTTTCTTTCTTTTTCTTCCCTTTTCACTGTGAGTGGTGGTCACCGATGGCAAGGATGAATTCGATGCCTACAACAGCTACAATTGCCGTTGTTGCCCTCCTCCTTTTCTTCGCAGATGCTGCCTTTGTTCTCGCAGGTGACACACACGATGGGAGCGAAGGCGTTTTCAATGGGACGAAGTGTCGTCTAAACGACTACGTTCCCGCCTACGGCCCGTGTCTCGCCAACTCTACTCGCCTGCGAAGTTGGACAAAGGCGAAGGACGCGAACTGCGTGAGCGACGCGTCGGTGCTGCCCTCCGCGTCGTACGTGCCATGCGCGGTGTGTTCGCTTGGCATGCAGCATCGAGATCAGGGTGAGAGCATAGGCGACTGCGGCGGCTGCGCGGTGGGCGAGTATCTCGACGTGTCTGCGCGGCCCCCCACGTGCGCTACCTGCCCGTTTGGCACCACTGCCGTGCCGGTGTTGGCGTTCCGCGACGGCTTCGACGGTTTCTCGGGTAACGTCTCCGCATTGCATAGATCGAGCGCGTCGCGGTTTGTCTACCCTGATTCAGGATCTGCGCCGTTCGCCACGGCGAATAACACGGAATTCGAATTTGTGGGCTTTCGTCGCGGCGGGCGTGACGAGCTTCTCGTCGGTCTTCGTCCACCCCGCAAGGGGGCGGGGTACTACTACGCTTACTCCACGTTCCGTTACACTTTTGAAGCGCTATCGGATGGGTGGGTTGAAATAGTTTTCGCCCTGCAACGCCCCAGTGGAGACGGCGGCAACAGCGACAGTGCAGCGGTGCGTCTTGAAGAGCTGGATCACATTCGGTCTGTTCTTGTCGTGGATCACACGACCGTCGACGTTCGTGCGGCAGCGTCCACCGTCATCACCGCAGACCCCGCCGACGCGGAGTACTCCGTCGTCGTTCCGTTTTTTCATTCACGCTCGAGCTCCAGCGTTCCTGACAGCGCCGGGACAAGCGAACACTCGCTGTCGTGGAAGGTGCAAGAAAGTTATCACTACTCCTCTTCTATTGATATTGTAATACGGTCGTTGGTGGTGAGCGGCGATGTTTCGGGTGGCACCGAGGTCTGTGAGCCGTGCCCCCCTGGCTTTGCCTGCCCACCACAAACCACGAAAGCATCCGCGTGCACCCCAGGAACCTACCAGCCTGCCACGCACGCGCTGCGGTGCCTGACCTGCACAGGGAACACTTATTCCCCTGGATACGGGTTTCGTGAGTGTCTCACATGTGACGATGGCCGTACGGCGAACGAAAAGCACACTGCCTGCAGCGACACATGCGTATTTGCCTACGAAGACGTCTTGTACAACTTCACAGCGATGGCTGGCGTAGTGCTGAATGCTACCGTGGGCGACGCTTCGTACAACCCAGCGCGCTACATGTCGGTGGAAGAGGCGGACGCGGCTGCGCTCGACCGGGTTTACTTATCGGTCTGTGGTGCGCTGCCGATTCGAAACGCAGCAGACCACGCACCCAGCCGCAGCTCGACCACCGACGACGACCGTGGACGCTGGTGCGTGCGCGACGTGTGGAACCACAACAGCTCCACCAGCGCGTACGTGTGTGAGCGCACCAACGCCACGGTCGGACGCCACTTTGGCAACGTAACGCAGTTGATGAGTGTCGGGGGACGTGCAAGTGTGGTGACCTCGATGGGGTCGCTCTTAGCCCCGGTGGACATGCGGGCCAACGCCTCTACTTATTCAGAGCGTACATGGCGGGCGGTGATCCAATTGGAGTGCAGGGATGATGCGGACGAGGCACGCAAGGCGGGTACGGTGACGGCAGACGAGGTCGGCGCAGACTCCCTCACGCTGACGTGGCGCTCCGTGTACGCCTGTCCGCTATGTACGGAAAAGTCGTTTACCCGATCAGAGTCTCGGTGCAATGGCTCGTCGATGCACACGGTGGAGTACGCAAAGATAAATTCTACGGTCTGCACGCACGGCTTCGCGCCGCCACCGCTCTCCGTCTTGAACTGCACACCGTGCCTGGAGGAATTTTACACCTTGGAGTGGGGAGAGTGCGACGCAGCCGCGCGCAGTCAGACTGGTGTTTACGTATTGAAGCCGGAACGGGAAGGGTGTACGCTGTCGGACAGCTGGCAGCCACAGAATCAAACGCGTATCTGCACCGTGAACCCAGCAAACACCGGCATCGCAAAGACACTCTCGGTCATGATCGTCGTTTTCGCACTTTTTCTGGTGTTTGGGCTGGTTGCGGCGGTCATGTTTCCAAGTCGCTTCCGTCGTCAGGAGTACCGGCTCGGTGATCGTGAGAGCGGGACGGAGCTGGGCGAGTACAACCTCCGCAACGACGGCATTGACGGTCTTGAATTGCACTACAACGTAGCGAGTGCCGTGGATGGGGGCGATGCGGCGGCACCACACGCGGGTGCGTCTCGCGTCTCAAGCCTGGCCGATCGTCTCCTCCACTCGATGGCCAGTACGTTGCGACGGTTCGGCTTACCAGCGAGAGGGCCAACATCTCGTGACAATGGGTACAACACGTTGCCCACGACGGACGGGGCATTTCCCCCGGAGGAGAGCTCGCAGCGTCCCTCGCGCGTCGGCGGCCGTCGCAACGAAGTTCTATTCACCTTGGAGGATGGGGCCGACGATGACATTTTACCTCCGCTCCCCTCACGGTAGCAATGACATGATTGTTTCAAAAAGGTATTAGTGTGTTTATTGTTTTTTTTTCCTCAGTACCATTTGTTTGTTTCTTCTAGTACGTTCTGCTGCTTTTCTTTTGTTGTCGCTCGTCTCTCTACTTCGCTCCCTCTCTCTCCTGTTCGTGTTTTGCTTTGCTGAATGGACATCCTCCCTTCTGTGGTGCTTGCTCCCATGGCCGCCAGTGCGACCAGAGACGCTTGCAGCCTTCGTTTCTTCTCCTTGGTCTTGCATGCAGAAGGCAGAAGTCGTTCATAGCGCCTATATCAGTGAGAGCGATCAACAACACGATCATTTTTATTTTATTTGACGATGAAATTTGTATCCTACGAATGTGAAGAAAAAAGAAAAGTGTTTCCTTTACAATCTCCTACCACGTTAACGTTCTATGTCCCTACGCGGCAAAGATGGAGCCCCCGAGGCGTGTGGGAGAAAACTACGTTAGGCTTCTCTCTTTTTCTCGTGCTACGATCCATTGCGTTATTATTTTTCTTCATCTTCGTTCCACTGCATTCATCGCACTCCCTCTCTCCCGTCTCCTCTCTTTCCTTCTCCCATTCTCTCTTCTCCACCTTCGTTGTTGCCTTCGTAGCGGCGCAACAGCTTTAGTGAAGTTGATTAACGGCACGCCATTACCATTGTGCGTGTGTGCGTGTTGGAGCGCTTCGTTGGGGCTCAACCTCTCACCCGTGAATGTGGAGGCGAGGCACGGTCCGTGTATCTTCGCCGCTGTCTTGAGGGAGATATATTGGAGAATTACTGCCCAAAAGTAAGGATACCGACAGAAAAGTATGAAAAGTGTAGCTCCAGGACACGGCACCGTTGCAGAGCAGGTCGCCGCCCTTCCGCCTCTCTCCCAACTCCTCGGGCTCGACATCGCAGAGAGCAAAGGCAGCCCCAGGCCGACGGGCAAATCTAACCGCGTGAACTCCAAGCGCGCAGCTGCTCCTCTTAACGTGGCCAAGACACCTGTTGAACGCAAGGAAGCAAAGCAAGAAGTGCTGTCTTTGCCGTGTGTCACAAACGCGCCGCCCAAAAAGAGTGTGTTGTCCCCTTCGCACTCGGAGAAGGAATCCACAAAGGCGGCATCACCACCTCCACCATCCCCACAACGCTACCCTGGCGGCCTGCGCGAGTGGCGCCATGTTCAGTCCACGCTCCAACTGCCGCTGGTCTACCGCGCTGAGGACAACATAAAACTGACGCTGCGGCTGCTACGCTCTCTCCCCTTCTTCTCCTCGCTGCTCGACAACGACCTGCTCACGCTGGCTGAGACGATGTCGGTGATGGAGGTGGCGGCAGCCGGGTCGGTGCTGCTGCGCAAGGAAGCGAGCCTTCGGCCACCACCACTCCCGTCCCCCAACAACAGTTCGAGTCCCACCGCAGCAGCGGCCGCCGCTGATCTTACGCCCGCTGCGGCTGCGAGGGCACCACCACCGAAACTTGACAGCTACGATACCGAGGCCGGGAACGATGATAGGGCCACCGCTGCTCGCCCGAGCTGGGTCATGCCGGCCGCAGAGCTCTTCCAACATTTTCGAGGGCAAATGGCAGAGGGGGACCCCCCGTCACTGCCGCCTGCGTGTTTGGATGCGCAGACACCAAAGGCTACAACCGCAAGCAGCGGTGCCGCTTCCTTGGGCAGTCGCCCCAACGCTGGAAAGTGTTCCCCCAACGACACCGAGGCGTTAGATCAACTGAAGGAACCTCTCTTCCACGTCCCGGAAGGGTGGTTGGATGAGAGCGAAGGCGTCGACGGGGTGGAGGACTCCGCGGAGCCGTTTGTGATTGTGCTGCTGAGCGGGCACTGCGAGCTGCGTTGGCCGCGGCAGCGCGGCCCCACCGAAGGATCGGACACGCCTGATTACTGCGCCTACAACGTACAGCCCGGTGATGCCATGGGCTACGCGCTAATCTGGTCTGCGCTGCCCCCCGGTGCACGGTACGTGACGCTGGACACGTGCATGTTGCTGCATGTGAGTGTGGAGGGGCACTCGCACGAGATTAAAGACCGGTTGTACCGTGCGTGCCGCCGTGCGAATGAGGTGGTCTACCGAGCCCAGAAAACGTACCTGGCGGCGAAACTGCTGACGCCGCTCTTTGCCGCCGACCTCCCCACCGAGGAAGAGGGGGGCGACGACGCGGCCTCCGCAGCGACGTCGACGACGGCGGCGGTGACGGTTGGCAACAGGAGTGAGACGGACAACCGAAACGCCTCCATGCGCTCCTCCAGCGTACGGAGCGGCATCTTAAAACCGCCGACGCGCACCGCGACGTTGGAGGTGCTGCTCGACCTTGCGGCTCGCCAGCTCATCCCCATCCGGGTACCGAGCGAGACGGTGCTCCTGCGAGAAGGTCTCAGCCCGGCAACGGAGTGTGCGTTGTATTTCGTGGTGGAGGGCAGCTGCGCCGTCGTGCGGCGGCTGTGGTCGCAGGATCAGCTGCGTCTCGAGGCACGCAAGGCGCAGCTCGTGAAGGAGCTCACGCCGCCCAACGGCCTCCGCCCGGTGCTGCCCACAATGCCGTCGACGACCTCGATGGAGGTGGCGCAGCTGCGGCCGGGTGACTACTGTGGCGACCTCGCGTACCTCCGCGTTGATCCCGACCACGCCACGTCGATTGACGCGGCGTGGACGGCGGCCTACTGGCAGAGTACGTTTGTCCCCCCTTCCGCAGCGGCGGCGGAGGAGGAAGAGGAGTGTGGTCTGGCTTCAAGTCGGAGGGCGCACCGTCGCAACGTTGAGAGCGCGGGCGGTGCTGCTCGCGCGGAAAAAGCGGAGACAAAGTCGCTATTTCGTCGACACAAGGCCACGGTCATCACGCAACGCTCCGCACTGCTGTACGTGCTCTTGCCGACCGCGGCAGCGGAGGTGGTGCGTGGAACGGTGTTGGAGCGCATGAAAGAGCACGCCTGTGCGTGCCGCAGCTACACGTCGATGCTGACAGAGCACGAGAAGCTTTTCAAGTGGGCAATTTACAAAGAAAAGGTGCTCTGGGAGCAGTCAAGGAAGGCAACCACCCCACTGCGCTAATTACCAGACGCTGATGAAGTGATTTGTATTTTTTTTCTTACTTCTCACCTTTCTTCTACTCTCGTGATGCCTTTCTTCAGTGCGTTGCGCACCGATGCCGCGAACGCTGACATGGCATTTATGTTTATGTTTTTTTTTCCGGTTGTTTTACGCAGATGTACACTAAATACTGGTGACGAGAAGAAAAAAGGGGACAACAAAAGGTACTTTTTGTGCTGTGCGTTGTTGTGCGGAGGGGAAACTACCCGTTGTGGGTATCATCAAATGTTTCCCGGGACGGAGAAGAGTACTCAAGGATCAAACGCTTTCTTTTGAACCTGGTTAGGTTACCCTTTTCATTTGTTCTGCGTTGCGCTGCGGTTTCTCTTGCACTTGACTGTTTTGTCACACTCATTTTCTCATTTTCGCTCCTCATCGCTGATTTTTGTTTTTTGTGATCACGAAGGCAATCAACACCAAAATCATCGCTGGCCGCGTTGGGTGTTGGTGCTTCCAAGTACTTCTCTTGTTCGCTTTCTATCTCCGCCGCAAAAGCGTCGCACACACACCAAAAGAAAACATCTCTTCCCACGCACATCAACGACAACAAAATCCCCGAAAGTAATATCTCTCCCTCTCTGGTCAAGCTCTTCACCATGCTGAATGAAAGTACACTCCGGGAGTTCTACGCGCATGTGTACCCCGTCGACCTCGTCACGCAGTGGCTCGCCTATCGCTTCAACAGCGGTGGCGGCGGTGTGAGCAGCAGCAGCGCACGGCCCAGCTCCGCCACAGCGACGGCGCTCCTCGATTCCGAAGGGGAAGAATGCAAAGTAGTGCTCCCTCGCCGTGCCGGAGAAGACGAAGCCGCAGCGCTCAGCGATGTCAACGACGGCTTTGATGGCAAGGGGGCGGCCGCCGCGGAGGGTTACCTCGCGCGACGCGAGTTCTGTTTCACCCTGATTGGGGACATCTTCACCCGCTTCCGCAGCTACAAAAGCGCCGAGGAGCTGCGCGCGGAGTTGGTGCGGTCGTTCCCTGAAAAAATCGATGTGGGTGCCGTGTACAACATCCGCCCCAACCAGAAGCAGGGCATCGCTAACGTGTTCCCGGTGGAGCGCGAGTTGGTGTTCGATATTGATATGTCCGACTACGACAACGTGCGGTCCTGCTGCACCGGCAAGAGCATTTGCAGCTACTGCTGGGCTTGGATGTCCTGTGCGGCGCACGTCCTGCACACAATGCTGCAGGACGACTTCGGCTTCAAGTACACCCTCCCTGTCTTCTCCGGCCGGCGCGGCATTCACCTGTGGGTGTGCGACAAGCGCGCCCGGCAGCTGACAAATGACGAGCGGATGGCCCTAGTCGGGTACCTGACGGTGGTGGCTCCCAAGACACTGCGTAGCACCGTTGTGGCGGACTTGGCGAACCACCGCCTCATCCACCCAAGCATTCGCCACGTCCTGCGCACGCAGCTCGACCGTGCCTTCACGGCACTCTTCGTCACCTCGTCGGCGGAGAACCCAAATAATGTACTGCACAGTCCCAAGGCTGCGTTTATCGTCCACGACGCGACCGTTGCGGTGTTGAAACTTGGTCGGCGAGAGGCGTTGAACCGATTCCAGCAGCACGTGCACTTTCAAGAAGGGAACGTGTTGGACTGGATTGCGTTTCTCCGCGCACTCGGCTCCGAGCAAGAGGCCACCGACGTGCTGCACGCCGTCCAGCTGCTGCTCATGTACCCGCGACTCGACGAGCACGTCAGTACTCGCCGAGATCACTTGTTGAAGTTGCCGTTCTGCGTGCACCCCGGCACCGGCTCGCTGTGCTGTCCGTTGGAGTGGGATGCGGTCGACGGGTTTGATCCGAAGTGTGATGCCCCGCAGCTGCAGGAGATGCTGATGAGCCGCACCATGGATGCGAAATGGAAAGCGCCGCTGGAGCGAATGCTGAAGGAGATGCGCACCGACGAGGAGGAGAACCCTTCGTAGAGGGATGAGGGGGAGGGGAGAGGATGAGGAAGAGTGATCCGAGACTTTTTTAACGTTTCTGATATCGGTTGTAGTTGTTTGTACATCCATAGAATGGAGGAGCGAGCTGGTGAGCTCCGAGATCAACGGTGTCACCGCAGCCGCGTTGTGCGCCCGCTCGCCTTTTCGTCCAATTTTTTTTTTGGTTCTGGATTGAAATGATGCGTTGCCGCTGACGGGCCATCAATTTCATAGAAGCCGTTTACATAGAACGATGTTTTTCAATTTCTTTGGTTAGCTTCCTTTTTGTGTGTGTTTGCGTGAAAGTCCTTGCAGCAATGCTGCGCTCGTCTCTCTTGAAAAGCATCAACAGAAAAGTGACAGTTATCATTCGTCAGCTTTACGCAGTATTTCCTTCTGAACACCTCTCTCTGAGACAAGAAACGCAACGCCACCTCGATCAATGGCAGGCCTCATCGTGCCTGCTTCACAGCAACAAATGCTTCTCGTGGCCAGCCTGCTGGTCGCTTTCCCCCCTTGTGTGTATCAAGCGGTGCAAAGGAAAACAGTAAGAATGCAACGAATGCTTCTACTCCTCTTTTTTTTTTAATTCCCTTCCTCCTTCGTTTTTAAAAAAAGCCCTTTTTAGAAACGCTGGAAACAGCTGATCTGTTATCGTACGCTGGTACGTCTCATACGCATAGAGCCTGTAGCTTGATTTGTGGAGTGTTCTGTCCTACTTTCCAACGGTGCGTCTCTGTGGTTGTGGATATCGGTCGTTGAAGCACACAAACAAAGAAGGGGAGAGGAAGGTCGCTTTGTCCATCCCGTTATTTTAAAAACCGACGTCTGAGTCAGGATACGTGTAAATGTTTTTTGCTCCCCCATCCAAAGTTCCTCGTACGCAGCGGCAAACCCTCACCTCTCAGACGCCCCCTTTTACTTACAAGCGCACCGCCGAGCTCGCCAGCGGACTGCCCGAGGCGTCGCCCACCAGCCTGGAAGAGGCCGTTCTTGTCAACGCAGCAAACTCGCTTCACATGCCGGCTGTAAGTTTCCTCTCCGGCGCCGGCACGCACATGTGCTGGATGGTGGACGAGAACCAAAAGCTGCTGCGGCTGTGGAACGTGCGCCGGCCGGGTTGGGAGAGGTCGGCGCCGCGGCTGGCGGAGATTCCGTACTTCGCCGCTGCCGAGGAAGGTCTGCCGCTCTTCGTGAGCGAGATGAGTGCGGAGGAGGAGTCGCTGGCGTTCTGCAGCGAGCGGGGCGCCATTTCGAGTCTCGACCACAGCATCGAGGTGCAGATGCTCGACGGCGATGCGACCATGACGGCCTCCAGCTTCGTCTGCGAGCGGCGGCGTGTGGAGACGGCGACGGTCATTGTGACGGTGCTCGGCACCACAAGCGGGTTGTTGGTTGTGGACCTGAAGTATGACGGCTCGCATACCACGATGGAGTTCGACCGACGTGATCCGGCGTCGTTTTGTTGGGCACCGAACAGCCACAACAACCTGCCGACGCAGGCGCTGCGGCGCTTCTACTCCTCGCTCGCCGCGACTGACGATAGTCTGGATGGCGATCGCAGCAGCGGCGCGGCGGGGCAAGACGAAGAAGAGGTGGCAGAGGAACCGACACCGGCGGAGTTGCCGGCGTGGCAGAACAGCGCCTCCACTTCTGCGTCGTCGAGCTGGTGGAGTTCGCTAAAGTCGTTTGTCGCGCGCAGCGACAGCACGAGCCGCGGCGGTCTCGATGGCCGTCCCGCCCGCAGCGCCACACAGCCGTCACGGGACTCGGCCACGATGGCACCGGGGAATGAGCTGGACGAGTCGAGCGTCGCGCAGGACGGTGTCTGGCCGCTCTCCGCGGTTGGCCGCACTCGTCGCGGCGACGGCGCCTTCGCTTTTACTCACCTTCAACTTCGCTACCACTACCCCGAGCAGGTGGTCGCGGTGAATGCGGCTGGTGAGATCTTTCTGCTCGACTTTGGCCCCGTCCCGCCGACGGAGGAGACCACGAGAGCTGCACGCGACCGCAGTGTGCGAATTAAGTGGGCCACGTCGCTGGCCGTTTCCCTGGGCCGCACGGGGCACGTCGTGGCGCTCACGGAGAGTCGGCACAAGATATGTGTCTTGTACTACGTGGCCGGGAGCGCCTCGCGCCCGCTGCCCGCGTTGTGGCTCGTGACGGTGGACGCGTCGCTTGGGCGGGTCGTGAACTTTGTGGTGTTGAACGCCATCGCGGGTGCTGTCGCGGCCGCGGCGCGTGTGCCGCCGCATCAGATCAAAATTTTCATCGAAGACACGCGCCGCGAGGTGCTCGTGAGCATCGGCGCCTACCTGCTCCGCGTGAACAACCAGGTTGGGGTGCACCAGCCGTGCTCCAGCGAAGACGCGATTCACATTAAGAATTTGAACCACCCCGTCGCGTCACTGCTGATGGGGGGCGGCTCCTTAGTGACGCTGGACGCTAACGGGCCTCACGTTACGGTGAAGGACGTCTACTCCACGCGCATGTCGTACAGCGGGGCGGCCGACGCCTTCACTGCTGGTGGAGGGCGGGGCGCCTTTGATGGTGACTGCTCGGGTGAGGCGGATCTCAAGCGACTCCTCGAGGCTGTCCGGTCCGACTCGAAGCTGTCGCTGGACCACGCGGTGCTGTGCGCGAGTGAGGCGTTGTACTCTCAGGACTCCCAACCGCAGCAGGCAGGCGAAAGTGGAGCCAGTAATTGGGCTCGTCGCGACCTCAACGTTGAGGACGAAAACATCGTCTTGCGTGTGACGCGGCAGCTCACGGCCCGGCAGCAGGCCCACCGTCGGTTCGTCACGGCAGTACTCCGCAATGAAGCGGTGCGTTCACAGCTGTCCCCTGAAACGCTAGCACAGCTGCTGTCTGCACAAGAGGCCTTGGTGTGTCTCTGTGCCCTGCGCAGCCTGCAGAACGTGGGCTTGCAACGCGCCACCACGGCGGACGACTTCGCCTTGGTGCAGCACGTCCTGCCTCCCTTCGCGGCCATGTTAGATGCCGCGCAAGGCGGCGGTGCTTCTCTGCTGCAGCGACGCCCCTCCCGCCACGCTGACAACGGCGAGCAGCAACAGCAACCGCCTCTGGTGAAGAACGCACAGCAGCTGGAGCGGTGCCAGCAGATCATGCGCCGCGCCGTTGTCAGCGTGGCGGATGCCATTCGACGAGAGCAAAAACAGAACATGGAGGCTATCGGAGGTGACGACGGCAACAAGAACAACGCCGCTACGCTGACTGCCGCGGAGCTGTGCTTCTCCAGCCCTGCGAACCTCGTACGACTGCTGAAGGCCATCGGCAGCTACATGGTCGAGGTGCGCCACACGGTTTCTCTCTCCCTCGAGGACAAATTTGCGGAGTGCTACGCGGTGGGCTGCGTGCACGTTGTCGTGGCGCAGACCATCGTCGAGTCGCGTGAGGATGTGCGGACGATCTACGAGCTGCCCAAGACTGTGCAGGCGCAGATGTGGACGAGCTCGACTGATTCGATCACCGGCGTCGAGCTGTGCTTCTCGCAGAGTTGTGTGCAGCTGGCGGACGTGTTGGCGGACATCTGCATTGACGTCTCCGGTGTTCCGGCAATCACGCGCGACGCCGCCGCCAACCTGGTCGCTCTCACGCTGCAGCACAAGTGCGATATGCTGGACGTCGTCGCCTACCTGCTGTACTTCTCGCTCACCAACAGCGCGCATCGCGACAGGGCGTTTACGGCGTCGGCCATCACCAACACCATTCTGCGCGAGCCGTTCGTGTCCGGTCCTGTCGGCTACCCGCACGGCAGCCCAGTGCCGTCCAGCTGCTGTGTCGAGATCGGCCGCCGCATACTGCGCATGTCGGAGCAGATGGCGCTGCGCTTTGATGCGATGCCGATTCTCATGGCGTTTGCACTAGCTACCCCGGTAGAGGACCCCGCCAGCAAGCCGGAGGTCTACGAGCGTCTGCAGCGGTACTGCCAAGAGAACGACTCCGTGTTCGACGCCGCCCTGCACACGCTCTGGCAGCAGCGGCGGGAGTGGGAGCTGCTGAGTCTGCCGACAGTGTTGCCCGGCTGCCCCGACGCCCGGGCGCGCCGCAACGAGTTCTTGGAAGTGCAGGCACCGCACCTTCTGTGGCTCGCGGAGCCCGGTCGCTACGACGCCCTCAACGCGGAGGGGCAGACCTGTCCGCCCTATATCCCGTACGGCGAGGATCAGGTGTCGCACCGCAGCCGGTGCAACGCCATGGCGCGGTTGGCGTGGGTGGCCAGCGGTGCCCCTACCTCCAGCCGCTTCAACGATGTACAGCTCTCTGAGGCCATCGTGGCGGCGCAGCAGCAATTCCTCTCGCCGGACTGCGATCATGTAAACCTCGGCCCGCAGGCTGCCGTACAGCGCCTGCTCGAATTGAAGGACAATGTGCCGGCGTGGGTGCAGGCCGCCGTCATAGCCAGCCATACGATGCAGCCCACCAACGAGGACCTTCTCGTGCAGGTACTGCGTCACTGCCGCGCGCACGACGGCGAGGCGTTGCGCGTGATTTACACGAGCAGCGTCAGCGAGCGCGAGACGGACACGCGGCTGCGGCAGACGGCGGTGGGCGAGGTGGTGGTGACCTGCGCGAAGTTGCAAGACCGAGAGGTGCTGGGCCGCGTCTGCGAGACGCTGCTCAGCAAAGATGAGTTTACGCTTCTGTCTTCCTGGCTGGACTACCTCTGGTCCAGCAGCTATGAAATGGCATGAACCGAAGGCATATGAGTTTGGAAACGCGGGGGCGGTACGTACCGTGCAAGGAGGGGTGGGAAAAGCTCCGACGGCGCGGAGTTGTGCGTTGACAGTGTCGGATGGTTGTTTCTCTTAAGTGTGTTGTAGTGCACGGCAGCGGGAAAAGGGGGAAAAGATCTCTTCTTGTTGTTTTTGTCATTCGTTTTTGTTGTTGCAAAAGCAGCTTTTTGAGAAGGGTTTCTTTTCAGTGAGTCGTCACGGAGGCAAAGCCGGAATGCAATGTGTGTGCTAGTGTCTGTCGGTGTGTGCCGTTGAGCAAAAAAAAAAAAGAGCGGCGTAGGCAGAGCTGAACGTGAGAAAAAGCGCGGTGAGCAGGGAGTGTTCCCCGCGCCTTAGCGGCCGCCCGGTGTTTTGTTTTTTCCTGCCGTCAACTATACATCTATCGGCGCTTCTGGGAATTTCTCTGCTCAATTCAACGCGCTTTTTGGGCGCTGACTTCCATTTTTCGCGATGCTGCTTCTGTTTCTGCTTCTCATCAATTCTTTTTCTCAACATTCTAACGCGGCGGCAAGCAAAGGGCAGCGGCCGTAACGCACAAGCGCTCCCCGAAAAGCCTTCTGCGCTTGCTGGACTCACTACTGACTTTTTGTTGTTGCATCGTCTTTTGAAAAACGTGGTCGCTTTATTTTCCTCGATTGTAACGGAATATGGCAGCACCGCAGCCATTTCTCAGAGAGCTGCTAGCCCTGAAGAAGCAAGAGGCGACGTCGCTGTTTGGTCCGTGGGACGTGGAGGACGAGGGCCGCATCGCTGTCAAGCAGGTCCGACCACTTCTGCTGAGCGTTTTCCCCGAGGCGGCCAACACGGCGCCGTACCTCACGTTGGGGCGTGTGAGAGCGGCCTACGAAGGCGTCACGCACCGCCCATGGCACGCATCAACCGGCGTTGTGACGGCGTCTGCATCGTCGTACCATGCGCATCGTCTAGGCGGTCCGATGTACGCCGGCCCCACGCTGGAGGAGGTGCTGCGCATGATCGACTCCTTAGCGGCGTCTCCCGAGGAGAGGCTCTCCACCGTCCCCTCGCCCGTCCAGGAAAGCGCGAGGCCATCGACACCACCGCTGCCGACGCACCGTCGTCCTTTACCTTTCAGTGCGCCGTTTACACAAGTCCACCCAGCTGATCAAGAGGTCGTTGATGCGGGTCGCAAAGCGGGGAGTGCTGCTGCCGAAGCGACATCTACCGAGTCATATCTTCGACTTCTGCGCGGGTCCATCGAGCACATCTACCACGCATTCTGCGCCGCCTGCAAGCAGGCCGGGGAGCCGGCGCCTACTGCGTTGCCGACGGATGCCGCGCATCTGCAGCGGCTTGCGTGGAACATCCAAGCGCGGCCACTGCAGTTGGGGGAGAACCGCGCGTTGCACCGATTGCTTGCCGCTGCAACAAACTCTGGCGACGACAAGCAGCAGGGAAGTGGGGGCGTTAGGGCGAGCAGGATTTCTCCAGACGATTTTGTATTGTTGCTCTGTGCGCTATAGACCGCAGAGAAGACACACAAAAAGGATATTCGACAGAACGAGGAAGATGTAGCACAACGAACAGCAACTGCAAAAGATACGTCGATTTCAACCAGCTTGATAATTTATCGTCGTGTTTTGCAAACCGTCCTGCTCTCTCATACACACCTTTTTTTTTCTTTAGGCAGGAGAGCTCGGGACGTCCACGTTTATGAGTTGATAATACTTGTTGAAGGGCCTCCACAGCACCGTAAATGGAAGAAAAGAAGAAAAAGTGGTGTCGACAACCCAGACAGAAATCGAGCACATTCCTGATGCTCTTCTACGTTCTTGTCCTCTCTCTTCTCTCTTCTCCTTCTCGTGGTGGGATGGGCTGCTCCATTCGGCCCTGAAAATCGTATTTCTACTCGTGACAAAAGTAGTTTCATCAACACCACGTTGTGCTCGTCACAACGCGCTCTCCAAACCAGCGGGAAAAGAAAGTACTAATCCGCGATAACCAACAAGTTAGAAAAAACGAAAGAGTTTAGTTGATAAAGCACATGCCGTCTCTATCTTTTACCTCGCCTGGCGCCCCTAACCGCCTGTCCAGCGACCCTCATCGTCCCTCCCTCTTCTCCGCGGGTTTTGTGCCCGCGTCACGACGACTTGGTAGCAGTCACGACAGTTTTCGCCCCAAACAGCGCGGCTGGGACTCTTCGCTTTTTCGCCAGGACAGCCTCGGCGACTATGCCGTGAGCGACGGTACTCTGGACGACACGCAGGCGTCTCTTATCCTCGTTGACGAGGAGGTGAGGCAACACGCGGATCGGCACACAAAGCGGCTACGTCAGCTGCAAGCCCGCGAAGCCCGTCAACGCAGTCTTCTCGTGGACGAGGAGAGGCAGCAGTTCGACAATCTCACTTCGCTTCACCGGACCTACTCCGCGATCGCCGACACCTGCGTCGCCCTGCGGCACTCGCAAGAGGCAAAGAAGCAGCATCATGCCCAGCAGTCAAAGAGGTGGTCACAGCTGCTCGTCGCCGATGCCATGGCGGATCTTGTGCTGCAGGAAGAGTTGTCGCGTCGGTCGCTTTTGCACGCGGAGACGGCGGTGCGGGAGACGACTTTACGGCTGCAGCGTGCGGAGGCGAACGGACTGGCGTCGCACGAGGACGTTTTTCGTGTCGTACACGCTGAGCAAGTGCGGCGGGCTTTTCTGCTGCGTGAGGAGGCCCGCGCGGTGGAGGCGATGCGCATTCCACATTTTATCGCGTTGCCCTGCATCACCGCGACGGCGTCACCGAAGTCAAGCTGGGGTCTCAGCAAGTACGTCGGTCCTAATTTTTGGCGCGAGGTCGACAAGATAGACCTCATGGCAGCGGAGCGCTGCCCGTTCCGCTGCGCGGCGGACTGCCCCTACGTGCCTGCCAGCACTCGGGAGTTGGGGAGGGCGTGGGCTGTGGCGAGCGCGAAGGCGGCGCGGTCGGGTAGAGCCGCAAGGGCGACGGACGGACCGCGGCGTCGCAACATTACAGAGGTGGGCAAGCAGCGAGTCCTGTGCGCGGCGGCGAAGAGCCATCTCCGTGAAGCAACTACTTTCTTGCCGTCTCTCCGAGTCGGAATTTGATGAGTGTGCATGTAGATGTGCGTGTGCATCAATATTATGGGTGAAACGGTGATCGAGGTGGCTGCGTTCCTGATCTTCTTCACCCGAGAGATTCATCGCAGAGATTCGACGTATACGAATTAAGCATCGTTTTCTATTCGTAGCTGTATTGGAGTGGCTCAATTCTTGTTTGTTTTTTTCGCTTTATTGATTTTGTTTTCTTTGGAACCGTGACAGTAATAATGCAAAATTTGTTTTCTTTTGTTTTTTGTAGTTGGACTGTTCGATGTACATTACGTCGTTAAGAAGAGAAGGACAGTACTCAAAGATATATATATTGAAGAGAAACAACGTTTGACAATTCTTTGTTTTTCTTTTCTTTTTGATTTTTTTTGAACGATTACTGCAACGCTGGCGCTCGACGCCCCTTTAGAAGCGTTTTTTGTTTTTTTATTCTTCTGAGTGTGTTATGGCTTCTTGCGACACTCACGCAGTGATGGTCGGACACAATTTTGTCCGTGCGTTCTCAGCACTCAAGTGGCACCGCACAAGGAACGTTAAATGAAGGAAGAAAGGTGAGACGCGACGAGAAGAACGGCGTGTGTTGCTGTGCAACGAGGTTACTCCGTTATCCTGTTACATGTTTTTGTTTGATTGTTTTACATGCAGCACCTTTTGAGCAACCGGTATTCTTCTTACCTTGGCGTCACAGAAGCAAGAGGTTGCGCCAGGGTATTCTGAGTTCAAAGGCAGTATCTTCTCTTTTCCGTTCCCCCCAACCTTTCTAAGCTCCGCTTTTCCACACACACACACACACACACACACATTACCTGCTAGCATCACATCCGCAAAAAAAAAATCGAGCACATGAAACACCGTTAATGCTCCACCGATCGATGCTTTTTTTTTTTTAACCTGATGTGGTGTAGATGATCATGACCACGCCACCGGAGCAACACGATGAGGAAGCGAGTCTGCACGCGTTTTTAGAGGAGCTAAATCGTTTGCAGGAGGCCACTCGACAACGAGCCGAGGAACTGCAACGCGCACAACGCGCCGAAGAAGCGCTACAGAAAGAGATGAAGACTGCTCTCTTGGAGGCGCAGAAGGAGCGACAGGCCACACTGCAAATGGAGTTGGAGCTTGTGAACGCGGAGTTGCGCATCGCGGCCTCTCGCAATCAGACAAGCAAAAGCAGACTGCTTATGCAAGAAGTGAATGAGCAGCTTGCCTGTACGAAGCAGCTGTTGGAGGGGCACGATGGAGAAGGCGGTGCTGTACGCCGCGATGTGGAACCAGGTATTTTTATTGATTGCGGTGCTGGCCCACTCGAAGCTTCCCTCCGTTGTGTGTTTCAGAATGCCCATCTTCGTGAAGAGTATATCGTCCCCATTTCCAAGCTGCTAAACCAACTGTACTCGAGTTATCAGCATCTGAAAGCGGACACCGCAGCTTTAGGCGAGGAAAGGGCAGATGTGTTCGCGAGCTTCATTTGGTGGTTAAGCGACCTACCAGTTGGCGTAGCCTTCACTGACGATGAACGAGTTGTGCTGCGGTTTGCGAAGAAGCGTATGGACGAGTGAGCGGCAGCGTTTCTTTTAGTCCCTGTCTTTCTTTTTGCATTCACCTTCTGGCTTTTCCTTCTTCCTTTTTTGTTTTCTCAGTTGCGCCGTACGTGCTTTTATCTGCTTCGCATCTGCTTCGTTGTGTTGAATAGGCGAAAGGGAAAGAACCCCAGCGTGAAGAAACAGTGCGCAGACGGCGACGTGGCCGACCCGTTGCGTTTTCGAACCTTTTTCTCTTTGTTCGATGGTAGGCAACAGCAGTGGCGTCTTACATTCTTTGTAAACACAAGCAACTGACTGTCTCGCATAGCTGTCATATATATATATATATGCGCGACCACAATTTGGACACGTCATCTCTTGCCTCCTCCCTTTATTCGTGCTTCTTCTTTGTATTCAGGTGCGCGTCACATTGGTTGCTCATCCCACCTGCTCTTTTCCTCGCGTTTTCAACCCTTGTGTTTCGCGTGAAGTGCCTTTCTCCAGAGGTGCTGCTTTGGAGTTTCTCTTTTTTCACACATGCTTCTTCGTTCGTCGTTTCTTCTGCTCCTCAAAAACAGGCGATTGCGTTTGTATGTTGTACGCTGTACAGCTCCGTTCAACTACTCTATCGATGCAGGGGTTTGTGTGCTCAGCTTCCGCGCTCGTTGCATCTACGAACTAACCAAGCAATAGCAATAACAATTCATATGCCTTTTTTCTCCACAACACGCTCGCGCTTGCGTCGGGCCGAACTCCTCTCCGGTGTACCGCTCAGCAAAGAAATGCGAAAGCGCATTCACGCCGTCACGCTGCAGTTGAGCCGCGCGCCGTGCCTCGCGGTGTTTCTCGTGGGCGACCGGGCGGACTCGATACGCTACGTGAATCACAAGAAGCGCGCCGCGGCTGAGTGCGGCATCGAGATGCGTGTGGTGCGTCTACCCAGCACGGTCCGTCAGATTGAGCTGCACAAGGCACTCGCCGCGGTCAACGGCGATGTCTCGGTCGACGGAGTTATTTTGCAGCTGCCACTGCCGCCGCACCTGCGCGCCCGGCCGGCTCTCTACCACATACACCCTGGAAAGGATGTGGACGGGCTGCACCCACTGAACGCTGGAAATCTGTTTTTACAGGACCAAAGTCCTCTACTTCACGTAATAACGAGCAACAACAGCAATGGCTGGGAGGGTGCGGGGGCATCGTCATCGCCATCTTCTTCGTCAGCGTTGCCCTGCACGGACATGGCGGGACCGGATCACCTCGCGGACGGCCTGACGGATGAGGTGCTGCTGCTGCCCACGGCAAGCGGCGGCTACAACGCGCTGCACCGTCGCACGCACGAGAGAAAGTTTTTTGTCCCCTGCACCGCCTTAGCTATTCGAAGCATTCTTTTTTCTTACCTAAGCCGCACCGAATCGCTGTCGCACTTGATGCGTGCAGTGCACGAGGATGACCCGGCCAAGCCGCCTTCATCGCCGTCCCTCTCGTCCACGCCTGCGCTAGCAGAGTCGCACATCACGAACAGTTCGTCTAAAGAGAGCAAGACGAAGCCACAGGCTGCGGCGGTGGGCAGGGAGAAGCCGCGGGACTTGCACGCGGTGATTGTGAACAAGAGCATGGTGGTGGGTGTCCCGACGGCAGCGCTGCTGCACCGTGCGGGCGGTTTTGTGGTGACGTCCTGCAGCCGCAGCAACTCACTGGAGTCGGTGCGGTGTCTCGCGAGGCAGGCGGATGTCCTCATCACCGCATACGGCCAGGCGAGCGTGTTTGACGCCTCTTGTGTGAAGCCGGGTGCGATTATCATCGACGCCGCGATCAACGAACTTCCGCAGCCACCGACGACTTCACACAGCACACCTGCCGCGTCGCCCGTGAGGTGGGTGCTGTGTGGGGATGTGGATGTGGCCTCCGTCTCCTCCGTCGCGGCGGCCGTGACAAAGACGCCGGGTGGTGTAGGGCCCCTCACGGTTTCGCATCTAATGATGAACGTTCTGAAGGCGTACCGACTGCGTCACGCGAACCACATCTACTACAATAACATCTACACGGAGTTTTTGAAGATGTACGGCACCTACGACAAGGTGCGGGACTACGCGCCGAGTGCGGCGCTGGTGGTGCGCGCACCCTCCGCAGGGTCCGCTGCGACTCAGACGGCTTTGTCTGACCGAGAAAAGCTGGTGAAGTGTCCGGCTAACGACGAGGACGACCTGGACGATGAAGACGCCGACAACGGGAGTTACGAGGTGTGAGCAGCAGGACCGGGCAGGCAGAGCGAGTGAGAGGGCTTGCACTTGGCTCTGGCTGGATCGGGTGGACGTAAGCGCTTTGTGCTCTTCTGTTATTTTTTGGGGGAGTCTTAGCGCGGTTCTTGTGCCAGCGAAGCATCCGCTGCCTCGTTAATTCGTGAGGGATACGCGTTGTCTTCCGGGTTCTTCTTCTCTGCCTTCTCACAGAATAAGAAAAACAAAACATTTATCTGCACTTCGAAATGCAAATATAATGCACCAAGAGGTTGCGAATCGCATACACACACACATTCTCTCTTCGTGTATTTCCTTGTATCAAGCACGGCCGCAGCGGGCTTTCCGTGCGAAAGTCGACACCACGACTAATCGGTGTTTTGCTCGGTGGAGCACGCAGATGGCGGGAACACGTTCCTCGCAGCAAGCGCCGCCTTTTTTTTTTGTTCTCTTATCCAGCCCCATTGCCCAACGTGTAAATCGTAATGGGAAGAGAAAGAAGAGAAGTCCGTGCCTGAATGTTGTCTTTTCCTCTTCGTCATGCCACTCTTTCTTCTCTCTTTCTTTTGTTTACGAACCTCCTCACCAAACGACCACAACGAATACCTTGATAAAGTGTTGTCTTACTAGGCAATCAGCAATAAAGATAAGCCCCTCGTGCACGCACGCCACCACTCACACAAACACACGCATACTCGAACGCGCGTGATCGGGAGCAGAGGTGCGCAGACGTCAATAAAAAAAACAAAATCAAACCGAAGTGCGAATAGAAAGAAGGAGAGTGTCTTTCTCTCATTTTTCTCCTTCTCCTTCTTTCTCGGTTACCGCGCTTTCATCGCACTGTCCTCACTCCATTGAAGCACCGATTGTTCATTTTTCCTTTTGTTTCGTTTCGGCTTGAAATGCAGCAGTGCCTGCGCTTTCGTGAAGCTTCTCTACGAATTAGAGCACGTCGCTGAACACAACTTTTCGTTTCCATTTTTTCTTTTCTTCTTCTCCTGTTTCCTCGGTGTTTTCCAGTTCCAATTGCGTGTGTGGGCCAACAACCTGTGTTGACTCCGTTCATTGCATTTCAAACACAACCCCTTTTTTTTAGGAGCGAGAAGAACTGTGCCGTAGCTTTCTCATTGACATGTAAAAGAAGAAACAGATACACCAAAATTATTCTAAGCAACATTAAGGCATAAATTTTTTTTTTTGGTAGCCTTCAGCGGCAAACACAAACTCATTAGATATTTACACATATATATATAGCTCGATTTATCTTCTTCTTTGTGTGTGTGTGTTGTTCGTTTCACTTTTTTTTTACCTCTCCTTTTGGCCTTAATTGCTTCCTGTCGACGCTAATCATAAAAATAAAAAAAAATATTAGTTTATTTCACATAAACGGAGCTGCACCTGCAAACTCACTGTTTTCTCCTCCTCTTCTTTTTCCTTCTTGCTGGACCTCAGTTAAGACACGTATCTTTACTGACATCCCTTGTTTCTTTCTTTTTTTTTTAAAGACTCTCTCTCATCTGCACGATCGTCCTCCACTGCGCGATATTCAGTGTTTCCATAACATTTTTTTCCTTTTGTTTTCCAATCCCCACAGAAGGAGTTGTCTCTCCCGCACCGTCTCAACATCTGCTCTGTCACGATAGCAGCTTACTCATCTCCCGTTTTTGAAACCAGCCGCGCTTCGCCAGCCACTGAACCACCTCTAACTGAGAAACCCTCTCTCACTCCTTTCTTTTATTGAGTTTTTTTTTCCTTTGCGTGCGTGGTGGTGGTCCTACTAACTTCCACCAACACTGTCTGAAAAGAAACGGATGAAGGAAAAGGACGGTGAAGAATACTTCTGCTTCTTCGTTACTGCAATAGGCCTCAGTAGGAAAGAGTGACAGACGCCGTTTAATCTCATTCAAATATAAAAAAGGAAAGACCTCTTCTCCCTCCCTGTGCGAATTCTTCTGTAGTAATTTTACATATATATATATATAAGCGATATCATCTTCTTTTTTTTTCCATCTCTCCTTCTCTCCTTCTTCATTTCTTCGGTTTCCGCTTCCCTCGCAGGTGAAACGCCATTTAACCTTTTTGTGTAGTCTCCACCTAGTCGACCGAGCCAAAGCAACAAGCGCAAGCCACAGCTGCTTTTCTTAACATTTTTCCCCCTCCCAATTGCTCTGCACGGTGCAAGGGATTTTATGAATGCGAGATCCGTTCCGTAATACTTTTTTGTTCTTTCTTTTGATTCTACTACTTCCTTTCGTCGTTACAAAACAGCATTCAATCTCTTTTTTTATTGTCCTTCACAGCAGAAGGTGCTGTTGCCTTGCTTGTCTTCTCGCGTAGGAACCAGCAGATTTTACATACACATATCCGGACGGAACACGGTGTTATTGACCTTCCATTGTTTCCATTGATGTGTGTTCGCTCTTGTAGAAGCAAACTGAGTCACCGCATTACCACCTGCCGCTCTTTTTTTCTTTATCTCTTCTGATACACATTCATTACGCTGGCTTTCTATGCGAAAGCGGGAAGTAACTTCGAGCTTGTGTCCCGCAGACCTCATCTTTTCTGTGTGCTTGACTTATTGTATTATTTTTGTGTTACACTCAGCGTAGTTTATTATTATAATTTAAATTCGTGTACTTTGATCATTTCCGTTTTCTCGCGTTTTCTCTCTCGCACATACGGAAGTCCTCCCTCCTCCTTCTGTTTCACCTTTGTTTTGATTTTCGCTTTCCGAGAGGTGGAGGCAGTTGCGGCACCTCCGCGTTTTCGTTGTTGTGCACTGCTGCCTTCCACCGTCTCCGGGGAAATCGAAACAAAAGAGAGGCTTTTGTATTCCTTTTTTTCCGACTTCTTAACATGTTCTGGCAGAATCCTTTGTAAAATTACTTTTCTCAAATTCGCGCCTTCTGCGATTTTTTTCTTTTTGCTTGTAAGAGGTGTTAAAAAAACGTGTGTGTATTTTTGCTGGTGCCTACTCGTCCCTCGTGAACCTTGCCTTTTCTTTGTGTGTATGACAAGCTCATCTTTACTGGGTTGTGTTCTACCTTTTCCTTTTTTTCTTACTGCTGTCGCTGCGGTTGTCGCCGTCGGTTTCATCTTGTCCGCTGCTTTTGCTCACCTGTGTGCAGCAAAGAGAAATTTGAGAAGAAAGTACGACGAGCACAAGCGGATTTATACACACCAACAACCGTGCACGGCGTTGTTCGAAAGCGAGGCGAAGAAGAAAAAGACTTAAAAAAGACCTGCCCAGTAAGCAGCAATAACCTTTCTGTGTGTGTTCCGTTACTTACTCCCTATCTTCGGCTAAAAGGGGAAAAAGCGAGCGGAATAGACTCTGTTGACAAAGACATTTTTCTGTCAGGTACAACTACCCGCACACACACACACACACACAAACAAACAAACAAACAAACAAGAAAACAAGAGCAGCTGATAATCGTTATACCTTATCATTTTTTTTTTGATCTTCTGCTATCATTGTTTTCTTTGTTTGTTTGTGTTTATCTCGTTAACGTAATTTATACTTCCGCTGCCTAAGTCTATTGCGGGTTTTTTTTCTTTTGCGATCTTGTTTAGTTCCCGCGGTGATTTGGTTCTCCGCAGGGGAGCATACCTTTTTTTCTCTTTCTCAAAAAACAAAAAGTAAAGGTAGCATATGTGTCTGTGTGTAATAAGTGCGAATGGAGTTTTCGCCTATTGTAGCTGGTGTTAATCGCGGTGCTGATCAGTCAAGATCAGCATCGTCGTCTTTTGTGAATAAGACACTGCCGCCGCCGTGCATCGCCGCCCTCTCCTCCTTGGCGCCATCGCTTGTCGGTGGGCTCACCACTGCCTCCGTTGCGAGCGCCGTCACGACCTTCACGGCGGATTCTGACGCTTCTCACGTAGACACGATGTGCTCCTGCGCGTTCGATGCGGAAGACGAGTTCGCCGACCCGCACACAGGGGCGCACCACACGCAGGATTCGACAAGGACATCCCTTCCTGTGGCGGCGCAGGCCATTGTCACGGCGCAGCTGCGAACGCAGCAGCCGCATGCTACAGCGCGTGTCATTCAGCTACCAGGGCCTTTTGCAGAGCACGCCGACGACACGCTGACCCTCTCTCCTCTCGCCTGCGGGTCATCGCATCTGTGCTGCGGGCCGCCGTTACTGGTGCCCAGTGATGATGCCCAGCGCGCAATGTCAGCCGCGAACTTCTTGGAGGACGACATCTCGCCGCGGAAAACGGACCTGCCAGGAGAGGTGCTACCTGCGTTGTCTCCAGAGGAAACGGCGCTGCTCGGGAGCGGTGCCCGCTGCATTCGTGTGCCGTCGACTTTTGCGTACCCTCCGTCCATGGCCGAGACGACAGAGGCCGGCGCGGCGGTTCCGTTCTCCCTCACCACAGCGGTGGCGGTCTGCTCGCCGACGTGCTCGACGACACTCCCCTTCAGCCCCGCCGCTCACCGCAGTCGCTCTTTTGACGCGCCGCTGCCGAACTGCTCGGCCTACGAGCGTAGGTCGTCCTGCTCGGAGTACCTGGCCGCCCATCCAGATGGTGCACCGAAGCTCCCTCAACGGCGCCAGAGCACCTTCGACCCGTCCGAGTCAAATGTGACGCTCTCAGCTCTCACCACGCCCCTCGCGTCCACCCCTGCCCACGTCGCCTCCGCCTCCACACGCATCAGCGAAGAGAGTGTGGACGGTCTGCCCTCGCCGTGTCGCCGGTCGAGTCCGCGCAGCCCCAGCGATCACGGTATCCCTGTCATCACCGCCACCGCTGCCACAACTGCAGGCAAGCAGCAAACGGGCGACACCCTTCCGCGCGTCATCTCGCTGGACGCGGTAACAACGCCGAGCCGCACCCGCTCGCGGCCGGCCCTCACCCCCGCGACGACCGGCCTCCAAGGAGCGGCGACGTCCACCACGGGCTCCACCGGCGCCTCCACCACGATGACCAGCGTCACCTACACCCGCAAGAACGTCAGCCTCGGTGCGCTGGACTTCTACGGCAACCCCGTCACGTCCCTCTCCACCCTGCTGGCGCAGATTTCGGTCCGCTCCGGTGACCGAGATGAGCTGGAGCTCCGCCACCAAGCCCAGCAGCAGCAGCAGCAGCAGCAGCAGCAAAAGACTACGCTTTCCATGCAGAACTTGAAGGCGCACACCCAGCAGGTGGGGGTGATAAGCCCAGAGGACAAGATCAAGCGCCTGCGTGTGCGGTCAGACACGGCGGCCCCCATTACGTCGCTGCTGCGTCGCCGCCGCGTCTCGTGTCCGGTGTCGCGCATCACGGCCGGCGGCGCCTCACCCACTCACCCCATCGTCACCGGCAGCAGCAGCGGCAACGCCAGCAACCCCGGCAGCAGGTCGCAGGTGGGCTGCTTGAAGGAGGTTCTGCAGGAGTGCAACTTTCTCTGCATTAACGACGTCATTAATGCCATCGCCGAGACGCAGGCGCACGAGTTGCGGGAGGCGCAGCAGCAGTTGGAAGGCGCCGACTGTACAAATGCAGCAGGAACCACTTCAGTTGTCGAGGCGTCCACCAACGCCGCAGCGACAGACGGGGGGTTGACCCTGGGCACTGTGACGATGCCCGCTGCTGCCCCGCGACCCCCCTCACTGCGGCGCACCGCCAGTCCGCCGCCGAGCGCCTGGTCCGAGGACGGCAGCAGTCCTCTCACGCGCGGCACCACCGCCGTCAGCTTCTCCGGCGGCGCCACTAACGCGCTCCTCCCCGGTGCGGACGGCATCGACCCGCAGCACGCCCTGTGTCTTGCCGCGGCCATCACGGAGGTCTCGCTGAACCTTGAGCGCAGCTCGGAGGTGTCGTCGTGCGCCTCCAACGTGGCGGCGACGATGCTGAGCGTGCAGCGCCCCCACTTCCTCCGCGCGGTCAGCGGGCGCGCCGCGGCGTGCTGCATGGGCGAGGGCACTACGCCGTCGGTGACGAGCGGGTCGCTGCCCTACGTGACGAGCGATGCGCCCGTGGCGGTCTCGCACACATCGACCGTGGTGACGCCGGTGCAGCTGCGACGCACCGACTCCTACAGCTCTCGTGCGCCGTCGACGCCGGCGGAGGTGTCGTCGCCCTACACGAGTGCCTTCGCTGTCTTTCCAGATGATCCGCTGGAGCACAAGGTGCGGCGCAACTCCTCGAGCGAGGCGATCACGGAGGCCAGTCAGTCCTCGACGTCGGCGCGCAGCGAGGTCAACCCGACGGCGCTGTCGCAGACCGCGCAGAGTATCGGGGTCGCGCCGACGGGGTCCTCTTCCGCTGCGAAGAAGGTGAGTGGCACTGCGGCGGCGGCGGTGGCAGCGGAGGTCACCACGGCGTTTGAGCGAGAGAGGTGCACGGGTAGAAATGCGCACCACAGCTGCTCGCCGTGGCTCGTCCTCACGGGCCGCTATGTACCCAACTGGCACGGTCTGTCCGACGCGGTCGAGGAGACCACCACGCAGACTGGCAGCGTGACACAGCGGCAAGGCGCGGCGAGCATGTCCGGCAACGCCCCTTTTATCTCACCAGTGAAGGCGCTGCCGCCGCGAAGGGACGACGACGACTGCCTTAGCAAAGGCATCATCGGATACTTAGAGGAACTTGGGGAGGGTGCGGTCACAGTGACCGGTGGGTCGTTGCAGAAGCCGACAGGGACGTCGAGCAGCGCGACCGAAAAGCGTGTGATGATTAACTGCGTGGCTTGTGCCCCGTTTGCGGACGAGCTGACCACTGTGCGAGAGTTGCGCAAGTGGGCTAAGTGCGTAGCGCAGCAGGAGATCTTACCGCCCTCCACGGACACCGAAGTGACGACGTAGAGGGAGAGAGAAAAGCGTGGCACGTTCACATCGCGTGCTGGAGACGTCCAGAGCTCGGCGTATTTTTGTCGGCTGTGTACGATTTGATTTGTTTGACTGCTTTTCCAGGTTTTCTTCTGTGTTTTTTGTTGTTCTTCTGTGTGTCTAATCTACGCTTCTCATTTTTTTGTTGTTGATGTTTACGTGTATGTTCTGCTGGTTCCTCAGACGCCGTTTTAACAATAATAGTGTGAAATCTTCCTTTGATTGTCCCCCACGCTGATGAATGGGGCAGCCGTGAATAATAATCTCTCTTTTTCTTTTTTTGCGTTCTTCTCCTCTTGTCCGCTTCGCAAGTTGACGGCGCAACTCTTCTTCAGTTTTCGTGATATCTTTTTGTCTTCTGATACATGATATTGTCAAGGCAAATCTTTCCTTTGTTGCTCGTTCGGTTCGTGCTACCTTTTTTTCTCTCTCTCGTTCGCAGCACCCTGCTTCGCTGTTACTTGTCGCAGCAGTGTCAGCTAGATTTTGAATTCGATTTAGCGGCCTTTGGTGTTTTCTGATGTGTAAGCCGATGCTTGATCAGCACAACAACTGTTTGGTACCGAATTCACTAGGGCCGCATCGCTGAGAAGGGTAATCCGCTACGTCGATAAGTGGAGGGTGCCCTCAGCAGACAAGAATTTTTGTTCCACTTCGCTGTTTTGTTTCTGACTCGGCATTCTCCTTTTCCTCTCATTGCGATTCAGCGGCCTTCCAGTGTGCGTTTGGCTACAAACGTGTTGTTGTTTTTTCTTCTTCCCCTGCTCCGTGTGTTGCCGTCCAACACGATCGAACCGAAGACCGGCGGGAGGTCTGAAAAGGTGCGTTCACGCTTATCTTTTTTTTTTGGTAAAGAGAATCGAAGGGTTACTTTCTTCTTTTGTTTTCGTTGATGTTGGTTTTTACTGTACGAAAACTGCACATATACTTTCTGTGCCTTCTCAAAAATGGTGGTTCTAATTCGCTTTGGCAAGGAAAGAAAAAAACAAAATCATTAAACGTGCGCTGCATAATTGGTGACTGCGCCCAGTCTGTGTTCTACTTGTGCTTCTGCTCACTTTGCTCCGGTGCAGTTGTTTCTTCTTCTTTTTTTCTTCTACTATTTACGTGTGCACTGGGGGTACTGTCACCTTACCGGGGTGTCCTCCGTGGCGCATGCATCACCTTCACGACCTCTTCTGGTTCTCTCGCCTCTTATTTTTTCTTGTTCTGTTTGTCTGTTCGTGATTTTGCCCGACGCGCCTACGCTTCGATCTGTGCTAGGATTTTAGCGCGCTCGTGATACTGTGTGATACGACAATCTGATTTCTTCTTTTGTGTATCGATCGAAGCGCTTCAGAACGAGACCGAAACGGAGGCATTTCCATCTCTGGCAATAGCAAACACACACACACACATATATCTAAAGCAAGCAAACAACTCCAGATCGATCGAACATGGACGGCGAGAAAGTCAGCTCCATCAACCAGTTGCGAACTCGCTTCCCGGCGCTGTCGTTCTCGGAAGCCCGCGCGCTGCTGGAGAAGCACAACTGGAACGTCATCATCGCCGGCGCCGAGGCCGAGCAAGCGGAGAAGAAACGGACCGCCAGCGGCGGGGAAAGCTACTACGTGGGCGGGGGTGACAAGGGCAGCGGGCAGCAGGTGATGGCCGCGCCAGGCGAGGGTGGGGCGCCGCAAGGGCACCCCCCGGGCGCCAAAGGCGAAGGCGGGGTGCACTCACTTATCGACAACATTTTCCAAAAGGCGAAGGAAGAAGGTGCAAAGTTGGAGGAGGAAGGCGGAGGCGAACCACGCGCCTTCTACGGTCGCGGGCAGCGCCTCGGCTACACCGCCAACCCCAGTCCGTACATCGCCTCCACCTTACGCGCGGAGAAGACGGTGAATGTAACGGTGTACCGCAACGGCTTCCAGGTGGACGACGACGCCTTCATCCCGCTGGAGAGTGATGACGGTCGTCAGTTTTTGGAGGCGATGGATAAGGGCTTCGTGCCGGCGCCGCTGGCCGCGCGACACCCCAACACCGACCTTAGCGTTAACCTGCGGGACTGCCTGCAGGTGGACTACACACCGCCGGCCTACACCGCCTTTCAGGGACAGGGGCACCGTCTTGCTGCCGCAGCGAGTGCCTCGGCCAGTCCAGGCGGGCAGAACAGCAGCGGCAGCACCAACGCCGAGTTCGATGCCTCGCGCACCTTCGAATTGCGCGACAACGAAGAGAAGTCCTTCGTGGTGCTGTTGAACACCCGCGGCGAGCGGAGGCAGTTCGAGGTGAACCCCGCCCGCCACACCGTGGAGGACCTCTACTACCTCGCGCACACTTACCAGCCGGATGTGGCGCGGTTTGTGCTGGTGGAGCGGGGCATGCCGCCGCGTCGCTTGGAGGCCGCGATGCGTCCGCTGACGATTGCGGCTGCCAAACTCGCCCGTGCTGTCTTGGCGATTCAACAGTTGTAGGTACTTTCAAAAAAAGGAAACACACACACAGAGAGAGAGAAAGTCTTCTGTCGCTGTTGTCGGCGTTGCACCCGCTCACAGCGTTTACCGCGCCTTTGTTTGTCTTCTTCGTTTTTAGCTCTCTTTCCTACACGTATGCGTCGTCGAGAAGCGAGAGGTTGATGGGTGCGAAGGTGGTTTGCATCGAATCATTCTATCTCCAGGAACCCCCTCTGTTACCTGGGGTGCAGCGCCGCTCACCCCGTGGTGGTTTCTGTTTCGAGCAGTACTGTGCGGGTGATTTCGTGAGTTCTCTTTCTTATTCAGTGTCTGATGACAAACACTCCTTGAAATTATTATCATTATTATGGAAGGAAAAAAAATGGTGCACAGGCATCTGGTGCGTTCTTGTTCGGAGTGAGCGCTTCATGAGTAAAGCGGTGCCGGAGTAGAATTACGTGAGGCGCCGCAGCTCTCGCCAAAGACGTTTTTGTCTCATGTTTGTTTTTCTCACGCATCCCTTGATCACACACACACACACACTTACTCGCGTCGCGTTATTCCCATCTCTTTCTGCCCGATACGTGCCCCCACCCTACGTCTGTTTTTCGAAGCTACTATCGGAAATACATACATTACATCGAAGCTTCTCTTTTTCTTTGACAGGTTGACAGCAGCTCTCAGCCTTTCCGTTTTTGGGTCACAGATATCGTTACAGAAGATAGTATTGGTTTTTTTTTTTAATTGATTGATTTGAAGTGATAGATATTTAAAACAGAGCGTGAATGAGAGGGTCTCTTCCGCGTATGCGCGTGGCGACGCTGGCGAGTCTCTCTGGCACGGGTCCGTACGCATCCGGCAACTGGGCGGCGCTGCGCGAGACGGTCAGTGCGGCTTCCACGGACACGGTGAAGGATCTTCTCACGCCCTCACTCATCCCCACGCGTCACTTCCAGCGCAGTTTGCCAAAACTGCCGCTGCCCTCGTTGAACGACACGCTTCAACGCTACCTGACCACCGTGCAGCCCCTCTGCTCACCCAGTCAGCATGAGGCCACCACAAGGGTGGTGCGGGCCTTCAAGGAGCAAGAAGGTCCTCGTCTGCAGGATGAGCTACGCCGCACCGACAAGGCGAACCTCCATACCTCGTTTATTTCTTCCGATCTTTTCGAACGGCGGCTGAAGGAGCGCAGTTCGCTGCCGCTGCTCTCGCACAAGACATGGCTCGTGCGGCCCGACGCGGAAAAAGCAGACATGCTCGTCCGCAGCGTCTACTGGCTCTGGGCCTCGGTGCACTTTTACAAGCTGTACCTTGACAACCAACTCGCACCGGAGGTGCGCTACGTGTCCGTCGCCAACAAACGCCCGGAGGAGTCGTCGGACCGGTATTGGGAAAAGGACTGGTTTGATCGCACCGCTGCTCTGCTGCCTGATCTCTTCAGCACGCCGTTTGTGTACCGCCTCTCGGGCGGCAACGTGGTGCCGCTGGACATGTCGCAATTTGACTGCCTCTTCAACAGCTCCCGCATGCCGGGCGTGCTGCAGGACGAAATCACACCCGTCGGCTTTGTGCCGCAGGTGACGGTGCAGTACCGCGGACATCAGTTCGTGATCACCGTGGCGGACGCCGACTGCGTGCCGCTCTCCGTCGATCAGCTCTACGCCCAGCTTCGCGACATCGTCGACACACACGTGACGCCGCCGCGCACCGACGTGGGCGTCTTCACGTCGCTGCCGCGGTCGGAGTGGAATGTGGTGCGAACGATGCTGCTGCGGGACGCCGCGAACAGCAAGAACATGGAGACGATTGAGGAGAGCATGTTTGTGCTGAACCTGGACGACGTAGCAGAGAAGGACGACGCTGCAGACCCGCTGTGCGCCGTCGGGGTGATGTCGAAGACACCGTCGTTACGTCCGATGAATCGCTGGTGGGACAAGAGTTTGTCCGTCACAGTCAACCATCAGGGCACCGTGGCCGTGTCGGCCGAAGCGAGCTGGGGAGACGCGGTGGCGGTGCGTCGCTACGTGGACGACGTCTACGCCCTCAGCCACGCCGCGCACAGCGATTTACTCAAGCGCACCGCCCCCTCCACGTACCCTGTGCGGCAGCTGCAGTGGAACATCCCTGCCGACCTGCACGGCGTTGCGCAGCGTGCGCGTCGGACGTTGGAAGGGGAGAGGCAGCGGTTGGATGTTGCAGCTGGGGTGTTGGACGCGCCTGCAACGTCGCCCTCGTCGGTGGAAGCCACGCTGCAGCTAGCGGCGCAGCTGGCGTGGTGGCGCCTGCAGCACCGTCCGACTTGCTGCTTCCAGACTTTGGACTTGCAGCGCTACCGCCGTGGCCGCACGGAGCAGATTTGCTTGACGACGGCAGCGAGTGCAGACTTTGTCCTGTCCATGCTGGGCAAGGACACTGCTGCACAGAGGTCCGCGTGCCGGGCAGCGCTGCAGGCGTACGAGACGCTGAAGCGAAGTGTTGAGAAGGGTCAAGGCATCCAGTGCCACCTACTCGCTCTGCGCATGACGGCGGAGCGTTTGCTGGGGCGGGTGCCGGAGCTGTACCGCGACCCAGCATTCGCTTCGCTTTCGCAAGGCGGGGTGTGCGTGGATATGATGGAGTCCGAAGCGGCGTACGGGCGTGGGTTTGCCGTGAACCCGTTCGGCTTCCACCTGAGCTGCAGCCGGTCGGGGAATAGTGTGTTGTATCAAGTGTCGAACCTGCCAAGTCCCACCTGCGCCGTGCCAACCAGCACAAGTTTCGCAGAGGCGTTCAGCGAAGCGTGTCGCGACGTGGATGCGCTGCAGAGGTCCGTCTCAGCATGATATCGAACAGCAGGGGTTTTTTCCTGGTCCCTTGTGTTACCGTACACGGGCAATTATCTTGCAAGACAGCGCTGATCCGTCATTTGGGCTTTTTTTTAACTGTAGCTGTTCTCCTCGGCTACTGTTGTATTATTTTGCGTGGGGTATATTCTTCTCGCTCGTCACAAACACTGCTTCTTGTGGTTCTTCAAGAACAAGGATAAGATAAAATGTCAAAACCTTTTTCCCCGTTGTTGCTTAACAACAGCTTTTTTGTTGATATCGTCGCTGCGGCGTGATCTGCCTCTTCTCCTTTCCCACTGAGCGAGATGTCAAGGAAAAAAGAATCAAGAAAATTGTGTTGCACACCTCAACTTCATCTCGCTCCTGACCTCTCTCTCTCTCTTTCGTTTCATCTACCGGAACACGCGACACGAGTTTCTTACAACAACACAAAGAATAGAACTACGAAAAAAAGATTTCGACGTTTAACACGCGCACACAGGCTTCGATATCGCCTTTCCGGTTTTGTTTTTCGCTTCGAATCCGTTTCAGGTGTGCCTCTACCGTCAAGCGTCTGTAGTTTACTCAGTCACCGCCTACAGACATAACTGGTAATACGAGAAGAAAGAAGGGTAAGACCTATTTCTTCTCAATATGGCTCCCAAACGCAAGGCTACTGCGAAGTCCGCCACGCCTGCGGACGAGGTCGAGGGTCACGGCAACGAGGAGACGATGGACGTCGAGACGCACGTGGAGGCGGAGTCTGCCTCGCAGGCAGCCCCGGAAGAGTCCAGCCACGTCGCTGCGGCTGCGGCAGAAGCGGCAGCGCCGTACACCCCTGTCCCGGTCAGTGGCTCCACCACAGAGATCTACAGCCAGTTGCAGACCATCCTGTCAGCGGACAGTAGCAAGGTGAACTACTACCTGCCGCAGCTGCTTGAGCTGGTGCAGGCGTCGGAGTCGGCGGAGACGCCCCTCCTCATGCGGGTGCGCTTCGTCGAGTTTGTCGGACACCACGTCTCGCAGGTGCGCGACAACAACGCGCTGCGCAAGGTCGTCACCTCTCTTGTAAAGATCGTCGGCGGGGAGGACAACACACCGCAGCTGCTGACGGCCGCGGTGCAGGCTTTTGCCGGCCTTGGTCCGGTGTCGGTGGTGGACAAGAACTGGGAGTACCTCGCGCGGGAGGGGGCAGATGTGCTGATGCAGGTGATGATTGACCGTGAGGCCTTCCCGGAGAGCGTGCGTCAGGCGGCGGCCAAGTCGCTCGACTCGCTGACCAACACCGCCTTCCGCTCCGTCCTGGCGAAGCTGCTCCACTGGCTCAGCCTCGATCGCGAGGACGACGACGAGGAGCAGATCTCGAAGGAGCGACACATGGCCCTCACCCGCCTCTCGCGCGTGGTGATGGCGCCCGCAATGCAGCGCCAGCACTGGAACGAGGAGATGGAAAAGTACGCAGAGCCGCTGCTGCAGCGCGTGCTTGGCACCGTCAACATGCGGGAGTTTGCGCAGCTCGCACGCATCTGCGCCAGTCTGCCGATGAACAAGAGCAAGGGCAACCTTCCGCTGCTCGAGTGGTACGTCAGCACGCACCGGCTGAAGGACGAGCGCGACGTGGAGGCGGTGGCGATCATTGGCCGCCACATCGCCAGCACCGTCGAGTACGACCTCACCTCGGCACTCGAGGCCGCGGGCCTCCTGGGCAACGACGTAAGCGGCGCCGACGACCACAGCGTGAGCGTGGCGAAGGTGATCCTCCTCGCCAGCCGACTCGCGCCAGCTGAGGCGGCCGAGAAGCTGTACACCTACGTGAACAACCAGGTAGCGGCGATGATGGCTGACATGCACGCCACGCTGACCTCCTTCAACCTCGTGACAGTCGAGGCGCTGCTCTTCGCCGCCGTCGCCGTCGCCCGCAAGCGACCGGCCGAGGCGCTGCAGAAGCTGAACAACGACGCCTTCAACGCGAGCGCAGTGGCGGCGGCTCAGGCGGCAACCACGCTGCACCACGAGGTAGTCTTTGCGGTGAAGAAGGCAGCGACGAACAAGGAGGCGACCGCGGTGGACGCAGATGCGGCGGCCAGCCTTCTCAACATCAAGACGATACTGGAGGCCTTTGCGGCCAAGCGGCTGCCGCTAGCCGAGTTGCACGAGAGCTGGACACGCGGCGCCAACCCGATGCCGGCGATGAAGCGCAGCCGCGACGAACCGCGTGGCACCATGCCGCCGCCGCCAGGCTCGCGCGCTGCCGAGGCCGTCGCACAGAAGCGCCACAGCAGCTCGCACCAGCAGGAACGCAAGCGTCCGCACAACGACCATGTTGACCGCAGCCGGGGACGCAACCCAAACAACAGCGGCGACCGCAGCCACGACCGCAACGGCCGTCGCCCGCGCCGCGATAACCGCCATTAAGTTTGTTCTTACTTTGTCGCTTATCTTCTGTGGCGAAGAGCACCAAGGCAGCGGTCCAAGTACAAAGGAATGGGCTACGGGAACCCGAAAGAGCTAAGAAGCAACCTGACTCAAACGGCACACCATGAATGCCTTCGTATTCCTGTCTTTTCAGTCATGCGGACTGTTACGGTGTTGTTGTTGATGAGTCGCTCTTCTTCTCTTCTGTTGTTTCCTCCCATTTTTTTTTTCTCTGCAGAACACATAGAGCTGTATGAAATCCATAAGTCGTCGTCCTTCCCTCCTGCGTTCTTTTTCTTTTTTGGATCATCAGAAACGCAAGCACACGAAGGCAAAAGGGTTTGACGTGTTGGTTTGTGAGCGGAGTGCGGGAGGAGGGAGGATGATGGTCGAACAAAGGTCACATGGTGTTGTTATTGCTTTTGAGTGAAGCGCCTGGTTCGCCGGTTTGTTGGTGTTTTCTCTTTTTTATGAAGTACATTTGTTTTTAAAGATTTGTCTCTGAAAAAGCGGTTGTAACACGAGATAAGGGAGAAAAGAATCGAAGTTTATCCATTCGATAGTGCCTATTCTTGAGTCTTAAGCAGAGAATTGTGTCTTGGTCGCTCTGTTGTAACGAATGGAAAGAGGGAGGTACCAGAGCGTCTCAAGTACAACTGCTACCGGCTCTTCTTACGCCAGTTCTTGCTGTTCAACCGTTCGGAGGAGTGGTGTTTCACACGTTCTCAGCGCGCGTTGTCCAGTCAACGGCGGGCGATGACACGTCACAGTAAAGGAAAGAGAGAAAAAAGAAACTGTTTGTTTTGCGTTTCTGTTTTCCCTTTCCTTCCTTATCGTTCACATCTGGAGCGTGAAGAGCGATGCTCGGTGCTGCGCTGCGCACAGGCACGTGCGTAGTCGTCGTATTTCTTTTTCTTTTGTCGGTTACATGATGCGTTTCCATCTCTTCTGCGCGGACTCCATTCACCTTCTTGCACGTCTTCATTCTTTTTTTTGTTGTTGTTTTTCTCCCCACCGTGCTTCTGACGTTGCAGGTGAACCCGAAAACCACTTCTTCGCGTATACGTTGGTATCAACGGGTAAGGCAGTGTGAAGATAGCATCTCGCCTCGCACACGTGTGTAATGGTACGCCGCGTCAGAGGCCGAGAGATCAAGCGGTGCAAAAATGGTTGTTGTCGTCACTTGTGTATGAATCACACCTTCCTACATATATGCATGTTCTTTGAGGCTCAGCAGTGCTGTACCATCGTGTTTTCTTGAAAGCGCACTTTTTCCCTCTTCTCTTTACGCCAACAACCAAGGAAGGGAAAAGGGGTGAGGGTGGCATTGGTCTATCATCGAGCCTATCACTGGCGTTTTCTGTTCGCATTTTACTCCTCAGTTCTAGTGCTTTTGCTTTTTACCACCACCACCGCCATCACTGCTGCTGCTGCCAACGTACGGCGGCGCTAACAATCACCGTTGCAGTTCTTCCTCATTTTTCTTTGTTTAACTGGTGGTCATTCCTTTCTGTCACGTCCTTATACATCAATTCGTAATCTTCTAGTAGTCATGACGAGCTCGTCTGCCGCGCAGAGAAACCTCAACGCCAGCAGCTCCGCGACGTCCAGCAGCGATGGCGTACAGGCTACGCAACCAACTGCGCTACAAGCCCCGACGGCGAAGCAAAAAGAGGGGTTCGGCTATACGGCCGGCCCAGCTTTGGTGAGTGGGGCCTCGCAGGCCATCTTGTTCAACCCAATCGATCGAGCCCTCTACGTGCGAGTCAAGTTCCGTCGCTGGCGCTTCCTGGACAAGCGCAACTTCGAACGTCCGTTTCAGGGTTTCATGAATGCGGCGGTGTACCGCACGTTGGTGGGGGCATCGTACATGTTCTGGCAGGACAGCATGCGGATCGCCATCGAGCGTCTGGCACCGGCGCCGTGTCAAGCCTCGGCGTCTCCGCAGTTAAACTCCATGATGATTGGTCTGTCCGCCGGGTCCGTGAACGGCTTGGCCCTCAACACGCTACAAGCGGTGAAGTTCCGCATGTGGAACACCGACGAGCGCGGCATCACCTTCATGCGCACGGCGTGCAACATGTACAAGGAGGGAGGGCCAGCCATTTTTTTCCGCGGCTGCGTCACGACGATGGTGCGGGACAGCGTATTCGGGGTCGTGTACGAGACGACGCGCCGCGCTGCTGCGTGGCGACTCTTCTTTGAGCAACAAGTTGCGCTGCTCTCTTTCCTGTTCGGCTCAACGCCCTCCACGCCTCCGCCGCTGATGCACGGCGAGGGGGAGGAGGAGGCGACGGCGCACGGGATGACGGAAACGGCGGAAGCCGCGCAGGCGGCTTTTCATCGAGAAAAGTTGGGCTTTGCCGCGTTCTTGTCGAATCTCATGGCGGCGCTGACCGCGTCCATGATGAGCTCCCCGTTTAACTACGTGCGCTCCGTTGTCTACGGGACCCCGCGTGGGGCGATCCCGCTCGGCTACCTGCCACTTCTAAGATCATTTTATACCCAGTTTTTCTACATTTATCGGCACGGCAAGAGCTACACCGACCGGCACGGAATGCCGGAATTGCGCGAGACGGAGCACCGGGACTCGCATCAGGCCGCTGCGGCCTCACCAACCTCGAGTGCGAATAGCAACGCGACATCGTCTCAACGTCCTTCGATTGGCGGGCAGGTGCACAGTGCAGAGGGCTGCAGCAGAGGCCCATCTGCAGCTGCGCGGCGTGCTCAAGTCACACGACGGGCGCTATCGGTTTCGCAGATGTCGGCGGCGGTGCGTAACTGGGCCGACACCCATCAGCACCACCCCATCGCCGCGTGGACGTGGGCGAACAGTCGCCTCAACATCGGGTGGGGCTCGATACGCGTGGGGCTTGGTATGGCGATGGGGCAGAGTCTCTTCTACTTAGCACAGGACTTCGTACGTGAGGAAAAGCACAGGCGATGAACTCGTAACGACAATAAAAAGTAGTTTCTTGTTTCTACTTTCGTTTTGGTTATTGTTGTCTTCTTCCTCTACCGCGGGACGGTCGCCGTCCCACTTCTGTGGCGTTGCGCTTCATTTTCAGCGTCGTCCGGTCAATATCCACCGAAGCTTTTTTTAAAAAAGAAACACGGGTTTTTCTTCGTTATCCAGATATCACCAACAGCAACAGCAGAAGGAAAAGCGATGGTGGATTGCTTCATTATGAGACAGAGACTCTGCAATGTTTCTGTGGAAAGGAGATCGTTGAGCGTTTGCTTGAGCTACTCGTCAAAACTGTCAGAGTGGCTCGCACAGATCGTCTTGACTCTTGTTTTGTTTTGTTTTAGAAGGGGCGGCAACTCTTCTTTCACGTGAAGCAATGGTGGTATGCGAGCCCACCTTCGTTTCGCAAGTGCGTTCATGAGATGCAACGAACTTTTTATATACATACCCCCACCCCCACACCTTCCTTCTCTTTGTAACTTCGCTGTGTCTTCTCTTCCTGTTGTGGTTGTACACGATTGACCACATCATTGACGCCGCTACTACGCGTTGTGGTTTTCTCCTCACATCTTTCCATTTTTTTTTTTTTGCAGAACCGGTTAGACACGTCTGCTGAATACTCTCTGTGTGGTTCTTTGCTTGTGCGTCTGTGTGTGTGGGTGTGGGTGTTTCGTGCTTCGGTACGCGAGCAGGACAATTGAAACGTTCGGAGACTTCAGAAGGAAAGGAAAGAGGAGGGAGAGTTGTTGTTTTTTCGTCTTTTGGGTGTTGCTTTTGCACGTTACACACGTACAGATAAAGGCCTTTTCTTGAAGCAGAGAATGACCTTGCTGCGCTCACAAGGTGTTGGCTCGATGAGGACGTTTGTGTGCCGGCGATGCGAATCCGTTTCGACAAGAACACGCTTCCCCTCACCCGTCTTGCTGTGTGAAAGCGCCGCCACCCCTGCCCTCCACTCCATGTATCGTTCCCCATCCGCTGCTGGGGGACTCCCCGTCGGAGCCGCAGCTGTCTTTCCAGGCTTGTTTTGCCTTTTGCGATTCGGGCTATTCTCATCATCTCCACCCTCAAGCCCTCGGTTGGCGCTTGCGGCTTCAAAGCGGTGTTTCGCATCGACCCCGCCGTCTCTCCGAGACAATAAATATCGGAGAACACCTCCGAGGTTGGTTACAAGAATGCCTCAATCCATGATAGAGGACCCCCTGGACTTCACCGCGTTGAGCATTCGTTCCGTGGTGCGCAACACTGGACCGATTCCGCTCTCGAAGCTGACGCCATTGCTGGCGGACGAATTTCTCGAGACGATTGGCAACACCGGCATGAGCCTGGCCAAGTTTATTGAGCAGCGTCCCAATTACCTCTCCGTGGTGCACCTGCCTGGCCATGTCGTCATCACTATGCCTTTCCACTTATCCAAACACTTCGACGGAGATGAGAAGCAAAAACTGGGTATTTGGGTGCTGGCGCTGCTGTCCGCCACGCACTTCCTGCCCGGACAGCCGCAGGTCGCCGCCTTGGGTCTCTCCTCGCCCCAACCCACCGTCGAGGAGCTCAGCAACGCCCTGAGGCTCTGGACAATCGTGTCCCCCACACGACTCGAAATCTTTCTCCGCAGTGAGCCGAAGCTTTTCGCCGTCCACGCCGGCACCCGCCGCGTGCGCTGTCTGGTTGTCAACGCAATCACTCCGAACGAGACGGCGATGCGGTCGGCCGCGGGCAGGCTGGAGCCGCTCCTGAAGGCCATCAAGCCGTACGAGTCGTCAAAGTTTGCCCTGTGGCTGCGCACCGTCGTGCCGTCGCAGTTCCACGTGCCCGTCTCGTACGTGATAAAGCAGGCACGGGAGCTGAACGCACTGGAGACCGCCTTCGGCACCACCAGCCCCACGTTGGAGCAGATCAAAGGCCAGTTCCAACAGCTGCCGTCTGGTTTTGCGGATATCCGCGCCTTTGGCGACGCGCTGAACACCGTCTTTGTCCGTGTCATCGATCCGGAGCCGCTGCTGCTGGAGGCGGGCGTGCCGAACTACGGTGGCATCAACGCACCGCCGGAGCTGAGCGCCGCGGACCACAATCCCACTCAACTCGCACAGGAGCTGACGGCTGCCCTGGAACAGTACGCCAGTCAAAGCGAGCTCACTCGGGCTCGTATGGTGAAAGGGCTGGAGATGTCTCGTCTGCGCGACTACGTCCCTGCGTCGCTGATGCGCAAGCTGGAGCAGTTTTTCGGCTTTTCAGAGAAGGACGACCCGCGTGTGTGTATTCTGCTGCTTGACCGTCTTCGCCACCTTTGGGAGGTGCAGTTGAACGCGGGGACGGCACGTCTGTGGGCCTACCTGCCCGAGTCGGAGATGCCGTCGTCACTGACGCTGCAAACATCGCCGTCGCCGCGTGTGCTGTTGCACTGCCAGCGATTGTTGGTCGAGTGCGGGGCTCAGCCACTGATGGACCTGTATAACGTGCTGCCGTCAGACTTGAAAAGCGCGTTTATGAATTTGTATTCTCCACCGTACGAAAAGCCAACGGAAGGGGCAATATCAGCCGTTGTCGCGCACGACGCCTCTGCTGCTTCTTCGCTTCTCACTCCTCTAGTTTCCAGTCCACCCTCGCCACCGAGCGAGACCTGCATCACAGGCGCTTTGCAGATCTTTCTGCGTGCTCACTCTCTCTTCTTTTTCATGAAAGACGACCTTGTGCATGCCTCACGTTCCATTCAACCCGTCCACAACGAGCGGGTTTCTCCTATCATGCAGAAGGAGCGTGCGGCGGGTCTGCATCGACAGGGGATGCCCACGGCAGGCAAAAATGGCAAGCGTGAGTCGGCCAAGCACAGAGAGCTCCCGTTGACCGATTTTGAGGTGGCGCAGGTGGTCTACGACACACTCCCGCCCGACAGCTGGATCTTGGTAGATTCTCTGCGCCGATACCTCTGTATGCCAAAGCCGGACTTTTTTATGAAGAAGAGCCGCGGCCTCCCGGTGCAGACCTTCCGCCGCGAATTCTTTGAGCGTCACCACCGCTTCTTTGATCTGCACGAGTTGTTCGCCTTCGACAAGCTCGTTGTGTCGCGGGCGGCAATGGAGGTGAAGGAAACTCACCTGGTCGCCCCTCGCATCCACACCATTTATCACCTGATCAAGCTGATGGCGCTGCTGTCAGTGGACAGCATCTCGGACGCGAGCCTGACTCGGCGTATTCCGCTGAAAGGTCGTATTATATTGAAGTCGATCGGCAGCGTGACAGATCTGGCGCAGCAGCTCCCGATGTGGTTTGTTGTGCGGCGCGATGAGGTGAACTGTGGCGCCTCCCTCATTCGGTACATTGGGCCCCTCGCAAATCCGCCGAGGTCGGCATACGCCCTGAAACCGCACCCGAGCGGAGTGCTGACGCGTAAGGTGCGGAACGACCCGTTCGCGGATATCCCCCCCGACAATGTGGAGGGCGGCAGCGTGGATGGCTGGAATGACGACTGGAATGAAGATGAGGAGGACCTTTTCGGCAACCACAGCAGGTGGGACGATGACGAACGGTAAGCGCCTCGTTTTCTTTCGGCGTTGTACGGATTTTTTTTGATGGTTTTGTCATTGTTGCTGTTTGCTGTTGTGATGAACATTTTATCCTCACGAGTCTTCCGAGTCAGCATGCGGTGTGTGGTGGTGTACGAAGCCTAAATATCTCTCTTTCAAATAAACCAGAAAAAAAAGGTGTTCCCGAGGAGTCCCCGTAAACGGATGCTTCCTCCGTTGCCGTTGTTGTTCAATATTCTTTAATGCAAGAAGAGCAAAAAAAAAAACACGGTCAGGCTTTTGTTTTGATGAACTCTCCTGTGTGTGGGGCTAACAGTCTCTCCGGGCGTATCTCTTCCCCACCCCACAACACCCCCTTTGTTTTTTCTTTTTTAAACAACGTGCACATATGCATGAGTGTTGTCGTGGGGGTGTTTCATCGTGGGCATTTCCTGCCGCCGTTGCGTCCACTACATCCGGTTTGTTTCTTTTTGTCTCGTTCACCGTCCCATTCCATTGACTTCATCACACCTGTCTGCACTTTACGTTTGTTCTTATCGGCTGTGCAAAAGAAAAGAAAAATAGAAAGTTCGATTTGGAGTCGTGACACTTGTATCGCCGCACGCACGCACGCACGCCATTTCGAACGCACTCTCTATCTTAGCTCGGGCGCTTTCCTCTCGTGTGAGTGTGTGTACATCTCGTCGTCTTCTTGATCCTCCGAGGAGATAAAAAAATTCCTTTTTCCTCTTCGCTGCTCCGTCATGCGGCGCTCTGTCTTTTACATGGGCCGTAGCTTCACGCAGCGGCACCTCAACGCAGCGCGCAGCCCGCTTGCCGCAGGCTTCGTCCGGCCGAACCTGTTCTCCTCGACTGCGCAGAACCTCGCTGCCTCCCCTCTGTGCAGCTTGGCGTGCTTTGGTTCTGGCGGAGTTGCGGGTGCGAGCGGTGCGCTCGTCGCGTCGCCGGATGCCGCGCTGTGCCAGTTGCTCACGACGATCCTCGCCCAAGGCAAGTCGCTATCCGTGCTGGCCAACCTGGTGTGCATTCAAAATATATCAACTTGCGTCTTTGCATGCGAAAGAGTATTAGTTGGGTTTATGGTTCGCTCTCCGTGTCCCAAAACGGGGAGGGTTGCGACCACCGATTGACGTGTTGAGAGTTCGCAGCGGTGTATTACAGATGCAGCGGCGTAAAGGACGGGCGTGTTTTTTTTCCCAACGCCTGTCTTTCTTTGCTTGAACCTGTTGTACATGCACCGATACCTTTTCCAACCCCTTAACACGGTGTACTTCATCGGTTCGTTTGCGTTCTGGCGTCTCGCATGTCTTTTTATTTCTATCCTCACAGTGTTTTTAGCTCCTTTTTAAAAATCCATTTTGGAGGCGGTTGGCGGGAGGAAGTTCGTGTTGTGCGTCTGGCAAGCAGACAACGAAACAGCATCGATCACTCAGAGAAAGAAGCAGGTAACGACTTCTGCAATGAAATCGGGTGTATTGCGGAAAGCAACGGATGGTCTCGGCTACTTCAGCGCATCCATCTTCGTACTTCAACTTACGCATTTCGCTCGATTCGGACTTTCATTGGCCCAGTGGTGTGTTGTTTGTGTATGCGACTCGTGTTTTTTTTTTTATTGGAGTTTTCTTTGGTGATTCACGAATGTGTTGTGCAAGCGTGATGGGACAATAGCAACGAAAAGGGTGAAGCCACTTTCTGCGGCAAATGAAGACGAGTCACGCGTGCCCTGCACCGGAAGGAGCTTGTGTGGTTTCTCAATCCTTTTTCCCGTCTTGGTGAGCATGGTGATGAAGAGGTCTCCTGCGTGAGCAACGTATATATGCATTTATTGCTGGCACGTGGTTGTGATATCACGTTAAATTCACAGAAAGCTGTGCACTATGCAGAAAGGTACCGAGAAGAGGGGATGGGACACACAAAAGACTCTGTTTGCCAGCGACCGTCTACTGGCTAAGATGCTCACACCTCGCAATTCATTGGAAATCGACACATGATTTGACTATTATTACTATTATTATTCACTTCACCATCCTTTCGTTCTCTTGCTGTCACCCTCTCAGTAGAAACGTCGAACATTGTTTCTGTGGCTGACCCTCCTCAGGAGTGCACTGAACGCCTCTCCTTTTTTTTTCCCTCCAACAAAATGAATCTAGGTGTCAAGCAGGAGTCATTCCGCATCGAGATGATGATGACTTCGCTGCGCAACGAGTGCGTGAACCTCTGCTGCAAGGATTTCTCTCAAATGGAACTCACGAAGGACGAGGTGCACTGCATCGACCGCTGCTCCTGGCGGTATCTGCACACGAACAAGATCATCTCGAACGCGCTGGATCGCTCGAATCAAGGCGCTAAAAAGAAGCTGTGAGAGCGGCGTGCGGGGTCGTCTACGCGGCTTTCGTTATGAGCGAAGCGTTGTGGTTTATGAGCTGCGTGTAATCTACGAGGCTCTCGTCTGAGGTGCGGTCAACTGTTCTCGGGTGCAGCTGTCACTTTTGTTGGTGGTGGTGGTGCATGCTTTGGGGAGCTTCCGTTGCGACGTCGTGCCTTTCTTCACTTCATGGATCCGATTGCCTTGCTGAGAAAGACAACGGTTTCGTGTTCTAAACTCCAATTGTAATTCAACGAAAAACACGTCTTGCGGGAAAGAAGAAAAAGGAGGAAAAGCGAGACTACAATAAAAGAAAGCGAACTGCTCTGTCTCTCTGTTGTGACATGCGGGACTCCGCCTCTCTCACAGCTGCTCGCGATGGAAGCGCAGCAATGGAAGCCTTTTAGTATTACTATTATGCTACTTCTCCACGAATGTCTGTCATTCGTACTTCTACAATGAAAAGGCAAAAGACTGCTTTGCATGTGTGTGTATTTTGTTTTCTCTCACCTTCTCTTGTTGTGTGATCCTTCGGTGCTTTTCCTTTCATTGAGCTTGTTTGCGTCGCTGCATTGTTTAAAAAAAAACATCCGTCGTTCTATTGTACGTATACATTTATTTATTTACGTAATCCGCGCCTTTGGTCATTTGCGTTGCAAGTAACTCATCACAATCCCAGGCGACCGATTCTATCCTCGGGTTTTTTGTTTTTCTTCTTCTGTGCCCTCTCAACTTCTTCCATTTGTGCCAAGCACACGTATCTTCTCTGAAGCAACAACAGCTGCTCCACAAACACACGCACGCACACAAGAATGTCTCGTGCGTTGCGTAAGCTTCTCCTTATCGGCGTCATTGCCGTACTCATCGCCAGCGTGGTGCTGGCCGAAGTCGTGCCGGAGGTCGACGACGGAATGGATTTCGGCGGCGAGGAGGGCGAGGACATGAACGCTGCGGGCGACGGCGGAATGAGCAGCCCGTCGGTGAGTCGCGCGTACTTCTTGAACGCGTCCTCGCAGTTGTTCCCGTCCTTCCCGGCCGGCTCGAAGGCGCACGCCGTGTTAGCCTTTCAGAACAACGGCGAGGCCACCCAGGTCGTCTTCCTGGTGGCTGGTCTCCTGCAACCCCCGCAGGACTACCACACGACGCTGCAGAACTTCTCGGTTGTGCGTCAAGCCCGAGAGGTGAAGAAGTCAGAGACGGTCAGCTTGCACTACACCTTTATGCCGGACGCCCGCCTGGAGCCGGGAGAGTACAACATGGTCCTCGGTCTCTACATGCAGGACGCGGCGTCAAACCAGACCTACTTCATCACGGCCTTTAACTCGTCCGTCATGGTCGCCGAGCCCCTCGGCACCGACCCGCGCACAATCCTCACGTACTTTACGCTGCTCGCCATCTTTGCCGGTGTCGCCTACGTGGCGGCGGACAGGATCGGCCTTGTGAAGATGATTAAGTCCGCCCGCCACACCAAGAGTTCCGCGAGCGGCGGCAGCAAGACGGTGGAGGTCGGCACGAGCGGCGCCGCCTACGACCCGGCCTACATCACCCCCGAGCACCAGCGCTACCGCGACGAGATCATGCGCGAGAAGTCTGCATCCCCGCACAGCCGCAAGACCCCTTCGCCTAAGAAGAAGAACCAAAAAAAATGAAAAAGGGAAAAGAGACGCCGCTGTCCCCTTCTGCGCGAAGCCGAAAAGAGGAAGGAAGAGTTGTAGACGAGGCGAGCAGGTTAGTGGAGGGCCTTTATCTTCGCTTTTGCAGCCTGCGCTTTCTTTAGCACATACCAAATAAAGTGAATCACCCACGGAAGTCGAAGTGAAGTGCCCCGTGTGGCTGTGCCAGGATGCCTGCGACCGATTGAATGGTGAAACCGTGGCCTCGCGGACAGCGTAGCGGTCTTTTACAGGTGAATTTTGTTGCGCTGACCGTCGTGTCGCTCCAGGTGTACGTAGCTTCTGCGTAGTACTGGGCTTTATTATCTACTACGTAAAACTGGCTGCCCTCCGTCTGGTGCGACTGATGATTTGACGTGCAACGTGAAGTCTTTCGTCCTCCCTGCTCGTTTGGAACGCGCCTTATTTGGGGGCATGCCGGCACTTTTTTCTTGTGCCCCTTCTTTGTGGTCACGTGCCTCCCTTACGCGTTCCTTTTTTTATTCTTGTTGTCTTTGTGGATTGTTGTTGGTGTTGCTGTGTTCGACAACGTAGCGCGATGATGGATGTCGAGTGTGTGTGTGTTTGTTTGTACGTTTGTGTTTTAAGAGTGAAAAAGCACTATTTGCACTGTAGGTTACGGGGCTCTGCGCTTTGAATGGCACCTTCAATAGATGCTGTTTCTTTCCTCTTCCTCCTTTTTTCAACTCCTCGTTCTACAGGTGACAAGTAGCAATCATGGGCTGATGTATCAGTTTATTCTGTGTGTGTGTGCGTGCTGGCATGGATGTGGCTTAATAAACGACCAGAGCTGTTGCGGTGCCTATTGTCGTTTTTTCTCTTTTGGGTAACTAACTACGATTCAAAAGACGAAGATGGGTTCTCAGGGTGGTTTCTACCACAGTATAGCAAGAGCCGTATGTAGCGGGTGTGCGAGGTCAGGGGTCAATAAGAAGAGAAGTGCCCTCGTGTTGCCGCTCTTCAACAGCGAAGCGCCGCCGTTCTGTAAAGGAAAAAAAGTTGCCACAAACAGGTTCCTAGACTTCATTTTCGTTTCAAAGGATGGCGCACTGGCAAAGCAGACTGTCACATGATAGGAAGTAAGCAGACGAATGAACCCAAATCAGCATACAAGCATGCGCCTCTTCGTTGCTGTTGAGCACAGGCACATTTGACTGCTTTTGTTTCTTCCTCTTCCCCCCACCCTCTCTTGTTGTCTTCGTAATGCCAAGGTGAAGTGTGACTCGAAGTGCACACATGTGCCATGTACAGCGATAACTCTAGATAGATTTTATGAGGTCCACCAGCGCTAACGAAGACAAAGACTGAAAAGAATAGACGAAAGAGTATCTATGCCAACATGCCTCGTCCGTCAGACCAGCAACGGGCCGCCACAGAGGCCGGCTTCGGTGCAGGCAACACCGGCGCGACGCCCTCGGCTGACATCCTCACGGAGGACGTTGACCAGGCGCTCCTGCACTTCTCCGCAGCGGTGAAGGAGCACAACCAGCCCGTTCTCACCCGCACAGTGCTGTTCATGAATGAGCTGCTCACCAGCAGCGCCTGGAGGTCCAAACGGTACCGCGAGGAGGAGGAGAGTTTCAACGCGGCACTGGCGAGCCTGAATGGGCGTGGTCACGGCGGGTCGACAGCGGGACCGGCGCACACCGGCACACTGCACGGCGGTGGGCCGTCTCTTACGCAGTGGGTGGACGCGCTGGAATCACTGACAGCGGCGGGGCTGCCCACCGCCCTCCAGTACCTGCGCGACCTCTACAAGACCTCCACTGCGTGGACCGAGGTGGATCGGCGTTGCTCCATCGCAGTGCTGAATTTTATCTTTTTTGTTTTGGTTCTCTTCCGGCAAACGCAGCGGCGTGTCGCTTCACTGCGGCTGCACCAGCAGAATCAAGTAACTCAGCCGCAACAGCAACAGCAGCAGTGGACCTCCGCCGCGGCCTCACCGAGCAGCACCATCACCCCGTTTCTGTTTGAAGCCTCCCACACGGCGCTGCCGGCTCCTTCCTTCTGTGAGGAAGGGCGCGCCCTGGACGTCGTTGAGGTCCGCATTGCCTCGCTCTACCAAGCACAACAAACTATCGTGATGCCGTATTTGTGCTTCATCTCCTGGAACGCCGAGGCACAGCTGCACGCCGTTAACATCCGCGCCTCCGTTTGCATCAAAGGGATGCCTTCGCTCTCCGAGCTTCCGCAGGTTCCGCTGTACCTCAGCGAGTACGATGGCTGGATCTGGGTGTGGATGACGGTGGCGCTCTACAGCGCCCTGAGCTTGCCGGGCACGCCGCGCGCCCAACCGAGCTCGATGCACAACGTGCGAGCGGCGCCGTCCTCGCCCGATCCGGGCGGCGCCTCCGTGGCCACCACATCCGTCGGATCACCGCCACCGGCAGCGGTGACACGCCCCCATGGGTTTTACTTCAGCGCTTCGCCGCAGTCGTCACCGTTGGCGCGTCGCGACAGCACGTCGTTCGCCGGCCGCGGTGCCGAGACAGCCGGAGCGGCACCGGGCTCACACGGCTCATCTCGTCATCGAGGTGTCGGCGGGGGAGTTGGAGGCGCCGCGGGAAGCGTCGATGATGCTTTGAATGGCGGTGGTGGGGTGGGTGCCTCGAGAAAGAAGCCGTCGGTGCGGAGTGCGGTGGTTCGTCTGCTCCTCCAAATGAGCCCACACGATGGCGGGGATCTCTACATGCACAAGATGGTCGCCGTGCTGTTCTCCTCATTTGAGCTTTTGCTGCACCACTGGACACGCGGGCAGCCGGTCATCGGCGATCTCCTGCGGGAGTGGACGCAGCGCGTCGTCCACAGCCGTCTCAGCCCCCACCTCGCCTCCCTCACCCGCCTGCGCGCGTGGCTCGACCTCATCCTGGATGGCTCGCTTGAGGAGCTGACGCGGGTGGTGGTGACGCTGGACGACGTGGTCCTGCACACCTCATTTTTGTTCTTCTCGAGCACGCGACCTCTTCTCCGGTTGCATCAGCTGCTGGAGCAGCTCGTTCCCCTGCAGGTAACGCTCTTGTTCCTCTACCAACTACACCTAGAGGCGCATCGAAGTGCAGAGGAGGACGAGAGAGACGACGAGGTGGTCGGCACCTACCGCTTCCCACTGGAGGACGCGGACGAGGTGTACGGCAGCGATGGCGCGCGATCTCGTTGGACGGAGCAGCGTCGTACGCGCACACATGAGCTTTGTGCAGGCGACGTGCTGCGGTACTGCACCGCCGTCTCACAGCTACTGGCACATGTCGCTGAGCTGCTTCTGGAGCCGCACACGCAGCGTACGAACGGCTTCAACGCTTTCCAGCTGCCGCAGAGCTTGTGCTGTGCTATGCTGAAGAACACGATGATGTTCATGGCGTCTGAGATGATGCTAAACGAGGAGTTTTGGGTCTCCGTGCGCGGCGGGGGTGGCGGACGTGACGGTGGTAGAGGCGGTGGGTCGGCCATGCGCAAGCAGTGGCGATGGTGGTCCGTGTGGACGAACACGGCGCACTTTGTGTGCGTCACCGGCGGCCGCTTCGGGGAGCCGGAGGAGTCCGATGCGGACTTGCTCTACCACCAGCGCCGCCGCGACGTCTTCTACGTTCAGGCCATCTCGCTCGCCATGGAGGACGTGTACGCGCTGCTGCAGATGATCGCCTCCACCGACATGCAGCAGTCTGTCACTGCCCCGCGCACGCTACACCTCATCTTCCTGCGACTGCGCGCTTTTTTTGTCCGCCTGCACGAGGAGCACGTCGCTGCGATTAGCTTGCACGTTGTGAGCCCGTTCTCAGCCCTGCGCGACGACACCTTCAACGCCTTTGCCCAGCTGCTGGAGCACTACGTCGCGGTGACGGCGATGGAGAGGGTGCCATTTCTGGCCTCGACCGACCCCCTCAATGGAGCAAACCCGCTGCCGCCTCCTTTCTTTTCCTCCCCCTCGACACCCCTGCACCGCTCGCTGTGGCTGCTGGCCGTCGCCTACCTGCGCCTCGCCACGATCAACTCCTCCGCCACACAAGACGGTGACGCAGCCCCGCCGGACTCGGCCCACCCGGTGCAACACGCAGAGGAGCAGCCGACAACCAGCTCGCAGACGTCGGCGCGTCGGCGTGCGCTCTCCACTCACAACTTCGTCTGCGCCACTCCGTTTGCCAGCCTCTTCTACCTGCGTGACCGCTCGTACGAGTCCTCGGAGGATTGGATGCAGCAGACGGAGAAGTGGCAGAAGAAAATTTTGTTGCGCAACGGCAAAGAGGTGCCACAGCTGCGGGACTCCGCCCACCTATTTCGGTGCTACCGCGGCGAGGTGCAACAGAACGAAGATGCAGCGCGCGAGCTGCTACTGCTTGCATCGGTGCGTTGGCTATCTGCCGCCTTGTGTGCCGCGAGCCGTGCGCACGTTATGGGAGAGACGGAGAGGCTGAGTCGATCGACGTCGTCCTTTACGAATGCGCGCGCCTCGCCACGCGGGACGGAGTCGCAGTCCTCCATCTACGTCACCGCCTTCTCGCGCTACCTATGTATGGCGAAGGACATCTCAAGCCCGTGTCTCTTGTTCCTGTTGCAGATCATTCGCGATGAGCTGCGCGGCTGCAAGGAGCGGGAAGGGTCCACGCACCACTCCAACGCATCCGCGATCACCGGCGAGGGGGGCAATTGGCTGGGTGAGCAGGACTTGTTGGACGCCCGAGCTTTTGAGTGCGAGGTCTCGCTCTACTCTGTGTGATGCAGCGACGTCCGTTGTGCCATCACGGTTGCAGTTTCTTTTCTTCTTCTTTACCGTTGAAAACCGCATCGAGTGCACTTCAGCGTTGAACGCTGGATCGGCGATGGGCCGCCCCACCACGTCTTCCGCTGCATCGCGCTACCGCGCTGCCTCAACGTGGAAAAATGGAAATCAATGTCTCTTCTCAGCAGCTGACGTAGTTGTTGTTGAAGGAAAAAAGAGGTGGGTCGATGTGTCGAATCCACAGCTATCTTGAATTTCAAAGTGGCTCCGCAGCACATGGCGAAAGAGCTGAGCAGTAGTGTTTTTTCCTTCTACACTTCCATGGAATGGGAAGGTTGATTCTTCTGGCTCTCCGACCCTTCTACATTCTTTTTTTTCCTTATTCTCTCTCTCTCTCTCTCTCCTCCC